CAGGGAATTACTCCAGGCCCAAATGGCCTCACAGGAAGGTCGGAGATCAGAATTCCTGCTCTGCTCTGCCCTGGCTAAGTGACCTTGAATGAGTAGTTTCAGCTCTCTATACCTCAGTTTCCCAACCGTGAAATAGACAGCGAGGCAAACATCCCAGGCGGCTGGCGGCTGCGGTGGCCTGTGGTTTGCAGCGTTGCTCCGACGGGCTGGCGTGGAGGGGGAGGTGTGGCCCAGCCCCGGGGAGCTCAGCCTGAGGGGCAGACTGAGAGCCTCCAATGGTCAGAAGGGCAGGAAGGAGAGAGGAGCAGGTTCCAGGGTGGGGTCCAGGTACTCGGATCAGGGAAGAAGCCTCGGGTCCCTGTGGCAATTGGGGTAGACACAGTCCCTCCTTCTAGGGGCTCACTGTCGGTGGGACAGAATGTCCCCCAAGTGAACTGTTCATTGATGGGGGTGGCCCAGGACCCTTCAGAGCCCTGCCTCTCCTGGGGGCACTCTGGAAGGGCTTTCAGGAGGAAGCGAGAGCTGGGCTGCGGGTGAGGGGCCGGTCAGGAGGTGGGCAGGTCAGGCAGCAGGACGGGGGTTTGGGAAAATAGGCAGTAAACAAGGACTTCCGTGTTCACGAACCAATTCATGCTACGCTCTCCACCCAGAGCTGGCTAAGAGCCCTTGGCCCATAACAGTTTTCTGCCATATTTATTATTCGATGCCGCAAAGGCCAATGCCACTGAGGTGCGGCAGGAAAAAGAGGGCGTGGGGAAAAGCAGGGGGGAGAAGCCGGCCTGGCCACGGGTGCACGCGGCACCGTGCAGCTACGTCGGAAGGGGCTGGCATCCTAGCGTTCATTCATTCAGCGGCAGTTGCGGAGGGCCCGGCTCTGCTCTCGGAGCAGGGCGCACAGCGGCGAACAGAGTAAAGCCCTGCTCCCGGGCAGCACGCAGCCGGGGAGGACAAGACAAAGTGCACACGAGCATCTCGTGCTGTTTGGGTCTGGAGACAAGCTGAGAAGAAAAGTGCCGCAGAGAGGGGCGTGGTCAGGGAAGGCCTCACTGACCAGGTGACATTGGAGCAAAGACTTGAAGGAGGTGAAGGAGCAGGCCAGGAGGCCAAGCGAAGGAACAGCGTTCCTGGTGGTGGGAACAGCAGGTGCAAAGGCCCCGAAGCGGTGTGTCCTGATATACTGATGGTCTGGCAAGGAGCTGGGAGGGGCTGCAGCAGAGGGAGGGAGAGGACAGAAAGATGAGCGAGGGTCAAGTCACATAGGCCCCTGTGTGCGGCAACAGGGCTTTGGGCTCTGTTCTAGGTGGATGGGGGCCATGCGAGGCTTGTGAGCAGGGCACATGGAGCGAAGGCCACTCTGGCCGTTGTGTGGCAATTTGCTACTGAGGGTGGCCAGACGACTGGTTATTCCAGGAGTCAAGGTGACAGATGATGTTGGCCTGGATGATGGTAGGAGCCATGGAGGTACCAAGAACGAGTTGGGTTCTGGGAATGTTCAGAAGGTAGAGCCACAGTCTTTCAGAGGGACCGGGCCCTTGAAATGATGGGGAAGTCATTGCAATAGTAAAAGACAGGAGCAGCCTGGTCATCCTCGCAGCTGTCAGTTGCCACAGCTGTCCATCTCCCGCTGGCCTGTCACCCACGAGGGTGAGGATGGGGTCTCCTATGCACCAGGGTGCCCCCTCAGGTCCCGCTGGCAGCACAGAGACTGGCATCGAGCAGATGTGTTCGACCAAAGTGGGGTGGCTCAGAGACGGAACCTAGTTCCCTACGGCCAATGCTGTCACCCGTGCCCTGGTGGCGATATGCGGGAGAGAGCACTGCACAGGAGCCTGGAGTCCTGGGCTCTGTGCAATCCACTGAGCCTTCATTCCCGACAGGCCCTGAGCTGGCTCCTGCAGGGAACCAGGGCTGACGGGACACGGCCCCCTTTCTCATGGGGGACAGAGACGAAGCCAATACAGGCATGTTGTTGATCTGACAGAGCGCTGCCCAGGGGAGGAGGCAGCTTACTACCTGGGGCCCGGGACCCAGGCCAGACAGGTGGCCTTGGAGTTGCCTTTAAGGGTCCCCGCAGTCCTTTAGGCAGAGGGTGTGGCAGCACAAAAGTGGGGTCTCTGTGGCCCGCAGAGTGATGCGCCCGCAGAGTGAAGTTAGGGCTGCAGGGGGTTGGCAGCAGCCTGGCCGGGGAGGTCTAGAAGGTGCAGTGCGGGGTTCGGAGGTGGCTGGGAGCCGTTAAAGGGTTCTGAGCCGTAAACGGCTGGAGGTGGGCAGGGGAGTAATGGGTGATGCTGTGGAGGGTGTGCCAGGGGAGAGGTGGAGGCAGAGCCCAGGGAGGACCTGCCTCAGGAGTCCAGGTGGGAGCGATGGGGAGCCCAGGTGAAGCCCCACTTTGGGCTGTTTCTAATCTTGGGTTTTTACGCAGTGGGTTTTCTGAAAGTGGGCTTTTCTGTGATGCTCCAAGTCCCCCCAGATAGATATAAGGGGCATTTATGTATGAGGGAGGGAAAATCTGCAGAGTGTAGGCCTGGCCCGGGGAAGGGGGAAAGGGAGGAGGAGGCCTACTGAGTCCTACCCAGGACTGCTCCTCTTGCTGCCTCCTCTAATGGACCTATGACCTTCTCTGAACCTCAGTTTCCCCCTCAGTACCCAGGGGATAAGTTAGTCAGTAGAGTATAGGGGTCAGGGTGTTACTCTATAAACAGACTGCTTGGGTCTGCAGCCTGGCTCTGCTGTTAACCAACTGTGTGATCTCGGCCAAGCTGCTCAATTTCTCTGTGCCTCAACTTTCTCATCTGTAAAATGGAAATAATAAGGGAACTTACCCCCCAGGGTCTGTGTAGGGCTTGCATGAGACAGTGCACATGAAGCCCTGGGAACAGCTAAAATAAACATCAGCTATTGTCACGTGTAATGCCCTCGAGTCCCCATAGCTCTGTGGGTCATCCTAGAATAGGTCCTTGGTGATCCAGACTCAAGAGTAAAATGTACGTGGCTGTGTCTGGAGGAGGGAGGGAACCCGGGACTGAGAGAGGATGAGCACCTGGGCTGGCCAGGGCTCGCCCTGATCTGGCTCCCCTGCTCAGCGTCGGGGCTCAGCCTACTTCTCACAGGGGGGGCATGGACACTTTGGAGAGTGGGGTGGCTGTCCCACATGTCTGGATGTCCTCTGGTTATGGGTGGAGGGGAGGCCCATGCCCACTTGAGAATCCTCTCTTCCTTACCATGGCTGGATGCCAGGAACCCTTGACTGGGAACAATGCCAACTGGAGTGGCAGGAAGTGGGGAAGCAGGAGAGCCGGGGCCCCCCTGAATCCAGCTGGGAGGACTTTGAGCGTCACTGAGGAGTCCCATTTTGGGAAACCCCCTGTACAAAAACCCAAGATACAGCCCAGAGGTACCCCCCAACACCCCACATCTGGGGGTTCCTTTCACAGCCACACTTCTGGGCTCCAGGAGACTGACTTCTCGGGGGTCTGCAATCCTGGCCTTCCCTCTACTGCGGGGGAGCCTGCCTGAGCAGCCAGAGAGTACTCAGAAGTTTGCGTGGGGGTGGGGCGGGGGCCTGGTAATAGAGCTGCAGACCCGGGCCCTGAGGGGGATGGCAATCAGTTACTACTTAATCACGATTTATTAATTAACAGCCCGTTTACAGGAAGCAGGCAGGAGCAGAGGAAGGAGCAGGGAGTCAGACACCTGGGCGAGTCCCCCATGCCTGCTGTGTGACCTTGGGCTAGTGGCTTAGCCTCTCGCAGCTTCAGCGTTTCATCGGCAAAGTGGGGCTGGTGGCGGGTGCTCGATATTCAAATCACACTGGGAAACGAGGCAGGTCAGGAAAACCCTGGCCTGAGTTACTGCTGAAACACTCGGTTTTCACTTTCCTCATCTGTCCAATGGGTACAGAACCTAGGACGATGGCTGGAGGTTTAAGCAGGATAATCCAGGTGAGGTGTCCACACAGTGGGCCTGAGGAAGAAGAGGGCGTGCGGACAGTGGTCCCCGCATCCCTGGGTGACCAGAGGACTAACTGAGGTGATACCTGTGGAATGTTTGTGGCAGACGCTAAGTGAATATTAATTTTTGTCTCCTTCTTCAGCCCCAGGAGAATTGTGGGCTGGGAGGGAGACAGAAGGGACAGCACTCTGTGAAGGGCAGGTCGCTGGCCCAGCACGGCACTGGCCCACGGGCCTCTGGGGTAGGCTCAGTGAACTGATTGCACTGGTATTTTGGGAAACTCTGCTATGGAGAATCAGGAGGAATAAAGAGCATCCCCCTGAATGCAAGGACGCGGGGCAAGAGTTTGGACCCCATGCTTAGACCCCATGTTTCTTAGTTCCATGTGTGGGTAGAGCCTCTGAGGGGGCCGGGTTAAGGTGCTGGAACCTCCATCTGTCTTCCGACAACAGAAAGGCTGATGCGGGTGCAGCGAGGGTTCCCGAGCCAGGCGGTCCCGCTCTGCCTCTCGCCCTCTGGGTGAGCTGCTCGGAGCCCACTGCCAATCAGCGCTTAGTACCTGGCGATACGCTCCTCCCACTCCAAAGGCCCATGTCTGATTCCTGCGTATCGTGAGCGGGCTCAGTGCTCACTGCCAATCAGTGCTTAGTGCCTGGCGATACGCTCCTCCCACTCCAAAGGCCCATGTCTGATTCCTGCGCATCGTGAGCGGGCTCAGTGCCCACTGCCAATCAGCACTTAGTGCCTGGCGATATGCTCCTCCCACCCCAAAGGCCCTTGTCTGATTCCTGCGCATCGTGAGCGGGCTCAGTGCCCACTGCCAATCAGCGCTTAGTGCCTGGCGATACGCTCCTCCCACCCCAAAGGCCCTTGTCTGATTCCTGCGCATAGTGAGAGGGCTCAGTGCTCACTGCCCATCAGTGCTTAGTGCCTGGCGATACGCTCCTCCCACCCCAAAGGCCATGTCTGATTCCTGCGCATCATCGGCGTTCACCGTAGGCTCCCTTGCGCGTGCCAAGCCATTGTCAACCCTGATCTGTTTCCTTGATAGGATGCCGGTGGCTGAGGCCCCCCAGGCGGCTGGTGGGCAGGGTGAAGGAGGTGATGGTGAGGAGGCAGAGCCGGAGGGGATGTTCAAGGCCTCTGAAGACTCCAAGAGAAAAGTCCGGGACCACCTCCGCCTGGCACCCCTGTGGCTGACCCTGGTCGTGTTGGCTTCAGGGGGGTTCCTGCTCTGGTATTTCCTAGGTAAAGGCGTGCGCCTGCCCCAGAAAGGCCCCTGGGAAGAACTTGGGGTGGTTGGGGCGGGGGCGGGCACAGCAGAACAGACCAGGGTTCCAACTCACCCTGGGCCAGCTCTTCCTCCCTCTGTGTCTCCCTTCCCGTCCTGTGAGATGGGGGTATTGCTGCACCTAAGTTCTAGGTCCTGGAACTTCGGCTGGGTGCCCCCGGCTCTCACCAGCTGGGAAGGAGCGCTCGCCCAGCCCTCAGTTCTGGTGAACCAACAAGCCAAAGGAATATAAACAGTGCCTCCCCTTGCTTGCAGCCCTCCAGGGTGGTCCCTGGGGCTCTGAGCCAGCTGGCTTTGCAAGGGAAGGCTGAGTGGCGCCTGTGGTTCCTGGCACCAGTTAATGCCTCTGCCCACCAAGCCCCGCCTGGGAGCTCCTCTGGGGTAGGGACCACGGCTCTGTCACCTGAGTCTCCAGGGCCCATCATGAATGGGGATGAAGAGGAGGAAGGACATAGGACTCGTGCATCCAGGGGTCATCCACACACTCGGAGGGCTTTCATAGCCCAGCTCAGGCACACGTGGAATTCAGTACACAGTGAAAGGCGGGCCTGGGGCCCGGAGCAGGTGGCTCACAGCCTTTTCCACCTTCTGAATTTTGGCCTCCCTCTCTGGTGTCACAGCTCTTAACCAGTTCCCCAGAAGCAACTGGCCTATGTTCTGGGTGCATTTTCACTCATTCATTCATTCATTCATTCATTCAATAAACACTCTCGAGCACCTACTGTGTCTTTCTCTAAAACTGATGGAGACCTTACCTCATTCTTCCCGCTCTTGGCTTGGCTCTGGAAAACAATGGATGAACCAAGGCAGATGGTGCCTGTGAAAATGTCCCATGTACACTGTAGAAGACTCCTTCCTTCCTGAGCACCTCCTCTACGCCAGCTCTGTGCCAGGCTCTGAAGATAGTCCTGTGTCACCATAAAGCATGGCATGTGCCAGGACACGGGAAGCTGAGGGGCTGGGGAGCCCTAGCAGAGACAAGTGATCAGAGACTCCCCATCAAACACTCTTCAAAAGTGTTCCAGAGGGGGTCGAGGTGGCGGTAGTCTGGAGCCAGCCTCTGGGCAAGGCAGACACAGTTAGGAAGCCTGGGTCTGACGTAAACCTGCCCGGGTGGCTCAGGGTGGATGGTAACCGTGTTCAGAGATAAGGTGGGCAGGGAGGGGAAGCAAGGTGCACTCCACCACCGGCAGGAAGCCAGCGCCCCGATAGCACAGAGCGGCCCAGCCCTGCCCCCCAGGCTGTGGGATGATTAGTCTTCAGGGTAAACCACAGAGCTTCAGGCAGCAGAGCCAGAAACTCACCTGTCAATTGTCTCTCTGTGGATGAGTCTCATTTCTCCTGGTTATGCTCCAGGAGTAAACTGCCCCCTGAGGGTTTGCTCCAGGGGGCCAGGTGCCCCCAGGCCTCAGCTGGGGGAGGCCAGTTCCTGCCCTGCAGAGGGATCAGGGTAGAAGAGGCACTTCAGATGTGTGAGCCATTCCTCCGGCCCTGGCCAGGCTGTGCTCTGGGTTCTGGTCACCGGGTGAGGGGACGGATCAGTGAGGATGGGCAGGAGGCCTAGGACACCAGCGTAGGATAACTGAGCTGCAGTCTGACCCAGAAAGCAGCCCAGGAGAAGAGAGGACAAGCATTGGTTTCCCACGGCAGACAGGCCCTGATCCCTAATGCGGCCCAACTCTGTTTCCCTGGTCCTTTCCTTCTCCTGGGTGACAGTTTTCTACTTTCTTCTCAAATCGCCTGCACCCCGACCCACTTTGCCGCCTGTTTCAAGGACAAAACGGAGCCAGTCAGAAGAGAAGCCCCTAGACGCCTCCCAGCTGCACCCACAGGTTCTGCCTTTCTGCCCGTCCCCACGGTGAACCATCTCTGCCTAGTCTAAAGCAGTGCTCTCAGGCCCTGGGTGGTGGCCGGGCTCCAGCAACGCTCTTTCTCAATGTGCCAGCACACCCCGGCATCTCCAACTCCAAAATACAGCTGGAACCAACCACACGCGCCCTCTCCACGCACAGGCTGGCCCAGGCTCCATCGCCTCCTACCCTGGCCGCTCGCACCTGGACCACTTCCTGCAGGTTCCCCTGCTTCTGCCTTGCAGCCTCTTCTCAGCACAAAGCAAATCAAAGCATCTCACTTCTCTGCTTAAAATCTCCCACGGTTCCCATCTCACTTGGAGTAAAACCAACGTCCTACCCCATCTCATCTCCTGCTTTCCCTCACTCACTCTCTCCTGTTCCTCAAACACCAGACCAGCTCCTGCCTCAGGGCCTCTGCAGGTGCTGGTCTCCACGCCTGGACAGCTCTTTCTACAGATCAACAGCCACATGGCTGACACCATCACCTTCTCTGGCCTTCATGTTGCAGCCCACCCCCAGCCCTGCTTTGCACTTACACCTCTAACATGGTGTATAGTACGTTTGTTGCTAAACTACAAGCTCTTCAGGGCAGGAGTTTATTTTCTTTATTGTTTTGTTTATTGTTATACTGGCATATTCCCAGGTGCTCTAGGCCAGTCCTTGCACATAGTAGGTTCCCCATAAATGTTAGTTGAGTGAATGAATAAATAAATAGATAGAAGTATAAACCCAAGGCTATGGAACTATTCTCTTTTCATCAACCAAAATAGTCTTTGTAAAACAGAAATCTGATGGTGTCATCCCTGAATTTAAGCCTTTCACGATGTCCCTTGTTCATCTGGTAAAGACAAAATTTTGGCCTGGCTGGTGTGGCTCAGTGGTTGAGTGTCAACCCATGCATCAAGAGATCGCCGATTCAATTTCTGGTCAGGGCACATGCCCAGGTTGTGGGCCAAATCCCCAGTGGGGGCATGCAGGAGGCAGCCAATCGATGTTCTCTCTCATCGATATTTCTATCTCTCCCTCTCCCTAAAATCAATTAAAAAAAAAAGATTGAAAAAAATGAAAATAAAGACAAAATCCTGCCCAGTTGATGTCACAGCCTCTTGTTGCCCTGATCTGAGTGTTTCAGCCAAATAGGTTTTAGCCCTCTTCTTACAAGATCCCTCTGCCTCAGGGCCTTTGCATATGCTATACTTCCCTCCCTCCCCCCTTCCTAATCTACACTCCAGTCCTCCCATCTCAGCTGGAGGGTCACCCTAACCCAGGCCTGGTTTCTTTGTCATGCCAATAGCACCTGTGCCTCTTCTTGAAGGCTCTTGACACCTGTCTTACCCACCAATGTCCGTTCCTCACGGGGAGACACATCTTTCTTGGTTTACTAGTGTCCCCACATAGTAGGTACACCCTGGACAACCTGGCGAGTGGGAGGATGAACAGAGGTTGTAACCTTTGAGCTGGACCTGGGCCCATGGGATGTCCTGGTCTCTATGTCATCCATGTCCTGGACTGATCACTGCATCAGTTTATGACTGGGAGCCTCTGGGACACCATCCATCTGTGGGCCTCTCTCCTCCCTGGCAGCTTGGGGCCAGTTTGTCACCAAGTAAACTTTAGATGGTGATGACGACAATAACGAAGATGAGGATGATGATGGTTCCTTGGAGGCCCAAGATTTGGAGGCTGAGCTGAGGGTTCGGTGGTGGAGGAGGTGGGCGGGGAGACGGGAGCCTGCCCCGCTGCGCCTGGGTAACTTGTGGCTTTTCCTGGGCAGGGTACAAGGCAGAGGTGACCGTCAGCCAGGTGTACTCAGGCAGCCTCCGCGTGCTCAATCGCCACTTCTCCCAGGACCTTGCCCACCGGGAGTCCAGTGCCTTCCGCAGTGAAACCGCCAAAGCCCAGGAGATGGTAGGGACGGGTTTGGGGGGTGGGAGGGAAGGAACGTGGGGATGAGAAGGGAGGGGGGCCTGATTGTGTCACGCCCCTAATCACTCTATCTGGGGAGCTCGCTGGAAGCAGAGGCCTGTTTCTGGCATGCAGACAGGGACCTGGGGGGGGGGGGCGTGGTTAGTGGAGTCTGCTGTTTCTGGCACGCAGACAGGGACCTGGGGGGGGGGGCGTGGTTAGTGGAGTCTGGCATCAAATGCACTTGAATTAAATCCTGATTGTGCCACTTACGAGGAGCATGACCTTGGGGAAGTAAGCGCAGTTCAAGGAGGCTGGAGGGCCCGCGCCTCCCCGCCCCTCTAGGGCATGGCTCCCTGCCCTGGGGTGGTCTCCACCTGCTGTCAGCTGTTCAGGAGCCACGTCAGCCACAGGAAACAGCGGGTGGACGGACACCCAGCAGCCCTGGCCCTCGGTGGGGCAGTTCTGACGATGCCCTTCCGTCTCCCAGAGCTCCCCACGAGTGAACCGCGGTGGCCCACAGCTCTGCCCTGCTCCCTCACAGCCCCGTGGGCTGCCCCGCGCTTCCAGTCTCTCTTCCCCACCCCTGGTGTCCCCCAGAATCACTTCCATGCCAGCCACTTGCGTCATGTCCTTGACTCGACCTGCTTCTGGGGACCCACCCGAGACTTTTCCTCCTCTGTGACGTGGAGTGATGACAGGGCCTGCCGGAGGGTGGCTGTGGGTTCAAATGAGAAGAGTGCACGTCATCTGTCTGTGTTCCCAAGTGCTTTCCTGACCTCCAGCCCTGCCCCTCCCGCCCCAGCAGGCAGGGAACCTGTGAACACCAGCCAGCCGAGCACCGGGCTGGTGCCCGGGCCAGGAGGGGACTCGGGAGCCGCGGGGGCTTCTCGGACTTGAGTGACGTTGACAAGGGGGACAGAGGCCATTGGTGGCCGATGGAAACCAGAGCTGGTGGAGGGAGGGTAGCGGGACCGTGCCTGAGTGTGTGGGGAGGGAAACGTGGAAGCGGCATGAAGTCTCCTGGTGGCCATTGCCCCTGTGGGATCACGGCCAAGGCTCCCCCCTGCAGGCTCCCGTCAGGCGGCTGCCTTCGGGGGAGAGGGCATCTCAAGGTCGAGGGGCTTCTGCAGAGGGTCACCGGGGGCTACCGTCTCCCCTCCTTTTAGCTGAAGGCCCTCATCACCAGCACCCGCCTGGGCGCTTACTACAACTCCAGCTCCGTCTACTCCTTTGGGTGAGTGGCCTGGCCCCCCTGACACCAACCCCCTAGAACCTTGAACTCAAAGAAGGGGTGGAGAGTTGACTTCTGATGCCATGCCCTCATTTTTTAAAATGGGGAAACTGAGGCAGGGAGCAGCACCTTGGCTTCTTCATGTGCCCTTCCTTCCCTGTGCTTGGTTTCCTCATCTGCAGAGTGGGCATAGTGGTGTGGTAGGGAGGACCCGGACAACGGCACGAGTGCTTATCCAGGGCCTGGCACAGGGGATGAGGCCACAGGGAGGTGTTGGGGGGCGGCCCAGATCTTCCACTCACGTCTGGTTCTGCCACTTTCAGCACGGTCTGTGGCATACGACCTAACCTCTTGAGCCTCAGTTTCCTCACCTGCAAAGTGAGGATGAGGAGAGCACCTGCCTCAGGTGGTTAGGAGGCTCCCCTGTGAAGGTGGAGGGCGAAGCCTGGGCACTCGACATGCACGAGCCCCAGTTGGTGTTCTCCCCACAGGAGCAGGGGGCTGGGCAGGAGAGACGGCAGGCGCCCTCCCAGCCCCCTCACTTCTGCCCGCCTTAGGGAGGGACCTCTCACCTGCTTCTTCTGGTTCATCCTCCAAATCCCCGAGCACCGCCAGCCGATGCTGAGCCCTGAAGTGGTGCGGGTGCTGCTGGTGCAGGAGCTGCTGTCCACTGCCAACCTCTCGGCCCCCGCGCCCTACAGGGCAGAGTATGAGCTGGACCCCGAGGGCCTGGTGATCCTGGGTCAGTACCGGGGAGGGGGCACGTGGGACAGTCTGATGAGGTCCAGGAAGGCTGCCCACTAGGGCTGGGATGCTCTCGGGGTGGACCCCCAGGGACCCAGGAGCCAGCCCTGGGGTGGGGGCCAGGGGAGGGTCAGCATTCAGGAGAAACCTAAGGCAGGCTGGCTCTGATGGTCTCTTCTGTTTTCATTTTCATTTCATTTATTTACTACTTGTCTTCATTTATTTCTTTGTTCATTTCCTTTTGACAGAAGCCAGCGTAAAAGACATAGTTGCACTGAATTCCACGCTGGGTATGCTACTTTGTTTTTCCACTTTGCGTTGGTGTTGTTCTTGGTTTGGTCAAGTGTCAAGGGACGACATGGCTTCTGTGGTGGGCGCAGGGAGCCCTGTCCTAGAGCCACCACGGGAGGCCACAGTGGACTTGGGGCATGTGAAGGGGGTGTTGTGCATGTGTGAACACAGTATGTGCGTGTTGCTTCTGTGGGTGTGAGAGTGTGACTTGACTTTTCTCTTTAAGTTCAATTTGCCCACAAGCCATTGTTTGCCTTGATGGTAGAAAATAATCCTGCCCCCCTGGCCGGTTTGGCTCAGCGGTTGGAGCATCGGCCTGCGGTCCGGAGAGACCCGGGTTCGGTTCCCACTGGGTGTGCCTCGGTTGTGGTTTGTCCCTGGTCTGGTTGGGTTGTGCGGGTGTCGACCACTTGATGTATCCCTTTCACGTCGATGTTTCTCTCTCTCTCTCTCTCTCTCTCTCTTTCTCTCTCCCTCCCATTCTATAAATTAAAAAAAAGAAAAGAAAAGAATCCTGCCAATTCAAGGTGTGCCTATCACTTTGGGTTTAAAACTTGGTCTTCTAGAGATATTTCTGCCATGTCCAAGGGCACTCGCTGCACCTTTTCCTTCTTTCTCAGCCAGCTACTTGCCCTCTGCCCCCATCCCTGTGCCCTGTGCCCTGTGCCAGGGTCAGCTTGCTTTTCTCCAAGAGCCGCAGTCTTCCTGCCGCGCCCTGGGCTGCCCCATCGGGTGCACAGCACCAGGCTCGGCACTGGTGCCTGTGCGGAGGGTCCTGGACTTGTGCCATGTGCCACCTGTGCACTGTGTCCTGTGGTCCTGCGCAGGACCCCGAAGTCCTCGGCTTCCTCCTGTACTCCCGAGTTTCTGCCCGACTGAGGCCTCCAGCCAGGCTGAGGGCTCCCTCCCCTCCCTGTGGGAGGCAGAGTTTAAATCCTGGTTACACCTTTGCTGACCTTCCTCTTCCCACATCTGCTGGTCAGATGCTTACTTCCTTGGTGGTGGGAGGTAATGGGGTCAAAGTACCGCTTTCAGAGAGTTAAATCATACACACACGGAGTGAGCACGTCAGAGGTATATTTACTCTGTGATGAGGGAACCAGTGGGAGTGTAGAGCTGCTTCAGAGGAGTACACAGGAAACTGATCGATTATCTGTATCGATCCTTTATCTCTCTCTACCTCTCTATCATCTGTTATTTGTCTATCATCTATCGATCTGTCTATAACCTATCTGTTATCTATCATCTGTTTGTCCTATCTATGTCCATCCACCCATCCATTCATCCATCTTACTCGACCCTGGCACACTCATGGCCCTGACCCGGGTCTGGGAGGGGCCTTCCTGTTGCCCTTGCCTGGGTCAGGTGTCTGTGTCCCCAGGTTCCTGGTGGTTTATTTGCAGTTACCCTTCTTTGGTTCCGAGAATATCTGGAGCCCCTGCCCTCTGGGAACACAGTGTCTAACGGGGCGGAGATGACAACTGAATTCCTTTCAACAGGCTTTCTGAGCACTTCTTCCGTATGCCAGGCCGGCCCCACGCTGTGCTGGGGACAGCGGATGACCGTGTCCCCACCTGCCCTCAGAGCCCCGTGAGGAGACAGACATAAACAATCTCCCCTCACCAAAAGCGCCGGTGCTAGAATAGAGGCCCTGGGGGCAGTGGGCAGAGGCGGCATTCTGCCCTGCGGACAGGGGCTACCGTCCAGAGCAGAGGAAGGGACATGCCTCTAGAAGGAGGAAGGACTTGCTCCTGACCGGGCTCCCGGAAGCCTTCATGGTGGAGGGGCACGGACCCAGGCGTGGGGGACAGGTAGGGACCCGTCAGGCTGAGAAGGGGAAGGGCAGTTGGGCGGAGGAACAGCGAGAGCGGAGGCTCGGTGAGGAGAGGACACAAGGCCGCTCGTGTACTTCCTTCAGGCCGCCAGAGGCACCAGGCTCCCTAAAGGCGTTTCTGGTTGTCAACAGAGGCCAGCACTCACCTCTCCATTTAATTAGCCTCGAAAACCGTAATTATTAAAATTTCAAAAGCAAAGCATCAGCTTGGAGCAAGAGTTAAAGAATACAAGCACCGGGGACCATCAGGTGCCTTTCCCCAGCTGCTGGCTGAGGCCGATGTCACAGGCCCTGTGCCCTCCCCTTGCCCATTTCAGAAGTCTCTCCCGGGGAGGTCAGCTCCCCTCTGGACTCAGGACACTGGGCCAGGAAGAGGGAGCTGAGCCCGGCGCAGTGTCAGGCAAATCATGGTCACTGCCATTCCCTTCTTGGGCCTTAGAACCCCTCAGAGGAGGAGGTGGGACAGGGAATATCATCGTGTCCACTCAGAACTCAGAGTGGCTAAGCGCCGGGCCAGAGTCACCCAGCGGCTGAGCAGTGATGCTGGGGCTGTGGGGCAGAGTGCGGACTCCCTGCCCGCCAGCTGCCTCTCCCTCGGGCCTCAGTCCCACATCCTGGCAGAACACAGCCTCCCTGCCTCACAGGCTCACGGTGAGGGTTAACTGAGGTCTTCATGCTCCATGGGGGAGCTTGTTCGCTCACGGCTGCTCCCTGGCGCCTAAGTCAAACACGGAATAGGTTCCCAGTGGCTATGTTGAATGATTGAACGGTGCAGCTGGTTCTGCAAGTCAGCACCACATATGCTCAGCGCACATGTGAGAGAGGACACAGCCTCGGGCTGCGGTGCGGAGGGTGTGCCTGCGATCGGGAGGTGTGAAGTGAGGGCGACCAATGAGCTGGGCTGCGGCTGAGCCTCCAGTAGGACCGGATGAAGGGTGACAAGTCACGGGACTTTCACTCCAGCTCCACCTTTGCCCTCTCCCCCTGACCTGCTTAAAGAAGAACAGCCACTGCATGTATTGAACACCTGCTGTGTGCAAGGGACTGTGCTGAACACTCAAGCATGCATCACCCTGAAGCTTTGACAACCCTGCAAGGGTGATGTCATTGTCCTCATTCTGCAGAGGAGAAAACCAAGGCCCACAAAGATCAGGTGGACCTTAGGTGAGCTCAGGCCTGTCTGCGACATGGGGACAGTCACAGAAACGGTTTCACAGAGGTGGTAAATGAGACGTGAGTGCAGAGTCTTCAGTTCAGGTCCCGCGTAGCCAACACTTGCTCAATGCCACGGGTTTCATTCTCCTGGTTCAATGTCATCAGCTGGAGCTCACGCCCTCTACCTAGGCCTGCCCCAGCCCCGCCGTACTCACTCCCTCTCTCCACCTGAAATGAAACCCTCGCCCTGCCCCCCTTATGGCGCAGCCGCCTCGCTCGGTCTGTGATCCGAGCGGGTCCTGCTCTCCCAGCGTGACGGGGCCTTCCTCTGGCGCTCGCCTGGCACGAACAGCTCAGTGCGCGAATGAGTGAGCCCACGAAGGGATGCATGCGTGAGGAGACTGAGACAGAAGCACAGGGAACAGGAAGATGGGACGTGGCTCCTCGGGGCTGACTTTGTCCAGCTAATCCTCCCGCCCCACCCCGCCAGGGAGGACCCGGCTCTCCTGGTCTTACCGCCTGACTGATAGAGGTCAGGGGCCTGTCCCTTCCCCCTCCAGGCTGCTACCGCTACAGCTACGTGGGCCAGGGCCAGGTCGTCCAGCTGAAGAGGCCCGACCACCTGGCCTCCAGCTGCCTGTGGCACCTGCAGGGCCCTGAGGGTCTCACGCTCCAACTCAGGCTCGAATGGATGCTGGCCGACTGCCGGGACCGGCTGGCCATGTACGACGCGGCCGGGCCCCTGCAAGGGAGGCTCATCACCTCGTGAGTCCCTGGGAAGGTGGGGGATGGTGGGGGGGGTGTGGTGTGGGGTCAAAGGTCACACCGAGCATTCTGAGCCCAGGGCTGTGTGAGCTCAGGGTCACTATCTGGGAGACAGTGAGGCTAGCCCAGGGGGAGAGGGGGAGGGGAAGCTGGAAATGGCTGTGGACTGTGGGCAGTGCCCTCCCCTGCCCGGTTCCCTTTTCGTAACAGAACAGTTGTACTAGATGACCCTAAGGCCCGTTCTGGGAGGCTACCTGGCTTGTTAGAAGAAGGCTTCCGAGTCTGGCAGCCCCCACTTTCAACTCCCACTCTGTTGCTCTCGGGATGTGTGCCCTAAGGCAAGTCACGTTCCTCTCTGGGCCTCAGTTTCCTCACCTGTAAAATGGGTGTGCAATCATGCTCACCTTGCAGGGTTATTGTGAGGATTTCGATCAGCCCATCTGTCCCGAGATCCTCACATGTGGGATTGCTGTCCAGGTGGGGCAAAGTGACAGAGCACTGAGTGCCAGGAGCAATTCCAACTTTAATACTTGGGAGGGGGGACGAACTGTTCCCTCTCGAGCAGAGGAGTGGGGCTTTAGGACAGAGGATTGGATGTGGATGCAGAGGTAATGAGTCAGAGGGCAGCTAGTGGGGGATGGGGAGACCACAAAAGGGTTGGAAGTGGCCTTGATCTCTGGAGCCTGGTCACCTCCCCACAGGGGAGGGGTTGGGTGTTGGGCCTACAGAGTTCTGTAGCAGGTGGGGGGAGACAATGGGGGCACCGGGCTGCTGCCTTCTCTGCGCTTGGGCTGGGCCAGCTTCCATTAGGGGTGGGGGTGGGACCTTCATGTTCAGATCAAGGGCAGTCCTTGCGGGCGGGCGAGCTGGGTGAGGCTTCCTCCCAGCCCTCCCCGGCCTCTGAGTCTCCAGGCTCTGAGGAGGCCTACACTCATCTGTCCCCTCCCTGCCCTGCCCTCAATCCGGTTACGCGTGGGCTGGGTCTGGGAAGTGCAGAGAAGCCAGATGATATCTGATCTTCGGGAGGGCGGGGACACTGACAAACTTCCCCTGGGGCTTCTCTGAGTGTCCCTCCAACCCCCTCCTGGTTGCTGGGTGCTGCTCTGTCCCTGCTGGGCAGGTGGCTCACTGCACCTCAGACCCAAGGGCAAGGTCTAAAATGACAGACACGTTTGGGGTCCTCACTCGCAGTCCAGAGTGAGGGGGAACGTTAGTGGTGACGGGAGCAGAGCAGACCCTCGCCCATTTTTATTTTTATTTATTCATTTATTTCTTAATCCTCACCTGAGGATATTTTTCCATTGATTCTTTAGATAGAATGCAAGAGACAGAGGGAGGGGGAGAGAGAGAGAGAGACACTGATGTGAGAGAGAGACGTCAGTTGGTTGCCTCCCACGTGACCCCAGACCTGCAACCCAGGCACGTGCCCTTGACTGGGAATTGAACCCATGACCCTTCGGTCCTCGGGCTGACACTAACTGCTTTAACCTCCTGGTTTGTTTGCATGTGTTCCACACCCTGGGAGACTGGGGACATTTTAGTTACAAGGCTCAGCTGCTAAGTCAATAAAAGAAAATGAGAGAAACCCCAACATTAAAAGCTGAAGCCACCCTTAAAAGTGACCTCCAGGTCCCTCTTGACCCCACTGTCTTGTCTCCCACTTACTGGGGGAGATGAGCAGGTGAGGGAGGGTGTGTGTGGGGGGGAGGGAGGGGGCCACCCAGCAACGAGAACAGACCAGGTGGTAAAAGCAGGAGGAACGGGACGGGGGCAGCTGTGCCCTCTCCCTCCCTGGAGAGAGCCGAGCCCGAGGCCAGAGCCCTTCCCAGGATCCTTCGGCCTCAGGGCCCCCGGGGAGCTGCCTTGGGATTACTCACTCCACCTGGGTTTTGAGGCGGTGGTTGCCTCTCACGCACACACTTTCAGGGATGCCTGATGCGGCCCCATGGGCGCCCACTCCCTCGGGGCGAGTCCATGGCCGACAGGTGGCGACAGGCAGGGCCTCGCTGCGGAAGGTGGCGGCCCACTCGGAGGCAGGGTTCCTCGCTTCCTGGGAACAGGTCTCGGAACCAGCACTGGCTCGGAGGATTCTGTCAGAAACAAGGGTTAGGCAGTTCCTCGGAGGCTGGGGAAGCCGGGACCATCCCTGCTTGAGATGGCAGACCAGGGGCGCCTGCGGGGAGGGGACACAGGCCCTGCCACAGGCAGTGCCCGGTGCCCTCTGTCTCTGCTGTGGACCTGCGGTGGGGCCTTGGCATGGTCCCGAGCCTCCGCTTCCCCACCGAGAAAGCGAGCAGTGACTTGGACAGTCTCCTAGGACCCTGGCAGGCGGGCCTTCAGGCCTCTGAGTCTAGAACCCTAAGATAGCATTATTTATTCTCAGGCCTCAAGCTCTGGTGGCATCCTGGGGTGCCCTAGGGGCCCCAAGGCCATACTCCTGCCTCCTCTCTGTCCCAGCCCAGAACAGGGTGTGGCCAGCTAGCGGGTGCGGTCCCCACAGGTGCCTGTCTGGTCTTCCTTCGGGCACAGGCTGGATACTCAGAGGTCATGGGGATTCCGAGGGGGTAGAAGGGTTCTGTGGGGCTGGCGTCAGCTGGCATAGTCCAATGTAAGCTCTGGAAGTCAGAGCCACCTCCTGGCCTTTCTCACCTGAGATGCTGGCCTGACCTTACAGGGCCTCCGATCAGCCCCCTGGACCAGAGAGGGTCAACAGCTTGTCTGTGAACACACAGCAGGCTGGCTGCACGCTCAGATAAACAGATTCTCCTGTGCTCCTCCCAGATGCCCTTCCTGGCACACCCTTTCCACCGGTCTCTGTCCCCAGGGTCTATGGCTGCAGCCGCCAGGAGCCCGTGCTGGAGGTCCTGGCGTCGGGCGCTGTCATGGCGGTTGTCTGGAAGAAGGGCCTGTACAGCTACTACGACCCCTTCGCGCTGTCCGTGAAGCCCGTGGCCTTCCAGGGTAAGGGCTCGGGTACCTGGGGAGGGGAGGAGTGAGGTGGCAGAAGCTGAGCATGCACCCCTGGGCATGCCCTTCACCTTCTGGGCTCTAGTTGGCATGGGACAAGGGCAAGGGAAGGTTCTGGAAGTCTCTGCTCTCCACCCACCCTCCCACACACACCCCAACCCTCTCTTCCTTCTTCTATTCTCAGTCTGTTTCCCACATCTCCTTCTTCACTCTCACCTGGGACACAGACTCGCTCATCCATCTCTCTCCTTCTCCCTCCTGCCTTCTGATTTTCTTCCCTGAGCTCATTGGCTCTCCCCCCTCCTCCCATCCTCTGTCCTGGCCCTGTGGCTCCTCTCCCCGGCCCCTTCTGTCCCGCTCCCCTTTGCACCACCGAGGTTGAGCCTGGAGGCTGGGGTCTGTGGTCGACAGGCCTGGGAACCTGAGAGTCACCTCCAGACAGTGCTCACACCGACAGTGTACCCGAAGGTCTTTGGGGAGATGGGAAGGCATCTGCACAGCACTTCATGGGAAAGCCCCCCTCCCCCACTGCCCACTGCCCCTGCCCCTCCAGCACCCCTCTCAGGAGAAGCACCCCCTTTACACCTGCTGGCTGTCCTTGGGCCGCAGCAGCCCCGCCTCTGGGCAGGCGAAGCAAACCCCCATTTCCAGCTCTGGGTGGGAAGGATCCGAAACAGGAGGCCACACACAGCTGCTGCTTCCTACCCATCCTCCCCCTCCTTCTCCTCCTCTTCCCACTTCGCTTCTCGCTCTCTGAGGGCTCCTGGCAGTGGCCCAGGTCCCCAGGTGACTCTGCTGGGGTGCTGGCTGCCATCACGGGATGCCTAGAACTGAGGGGCCAGAGCAGGGAGTCTCTGACGCAGCTTTAGGGGAGAGGGAACAAGGGGGTTTAGGGACATGACTCCAGGAGAGCTGGCAGGATAGCTGGACACACTCCAGATCCCAATCCCGCACCCTCGCACTGTGTGGCTCCAGCTCTCCATCCCTCACCCTCGCACTGTGTGGCTCCAGCTCTCCACCCCGCACCCTCGCACTGTGTGGCTCCAGCTCTCCACCCCGCACCCTCGCACTGTGTGGCTCCAGCTCTCCACCCCGCACCCTCGCACTGTGTGGCTCCAGCTCTCCACCCCTCACCCTCGCACTGTGTGGCTCCAGCTCTCCACCCCGCACCCTCGCACTGTGTGGCTCCAGCTCTCCACCCCGCACCCTCGCACTGTGTGGCTCCAGCTCTCCACCCCGCACCCTCGCACTGTGTGGCTCCAGCTCTCCATCCCGCACCCTCGCACTGTGTGGCTCCAGCTCTCCATCCCGCACCCTCGCACTGTGTGGCTCCAGCTCTCCACCCCGCACCCTCGCACTGTGTGGCTCCAGCTCTCCACCCCTCACCCTCGCACTGTGTGGCTCCAGCTCTCCACCCCTCACCCTCGCACTGTGTGGCTCCAGCTCTCCACCCCGCACCCTCGCACTGTGTGGCTCCAGCTCTCCACCCCTCACCCTCGCACTGTGTGGCTCCAGCTCTCCACCCCTCACCCTCGCACTGTGTGGCTCCAGCTCTCCATCCCGCACCCTCGCACTGTGTGGCTCCAGCTCTCCATCCCGCACCCTCGCACTGTGTGGCTCCAGCTCTCCATCCCGCACCCTCGCACTGTGTGGCTCCAGCTCTCCATCCCGCACCCTCGCACTGTGTGGCTCCAGCTCTCCACCCCGCACCCTCGCACTGTGTGGCTCCAGCTCTCCATCCCGCACCCTCGCACTGTGTGGCTCCAGCTCTCGATCCTGCACCCTCGCACTGTGTGGCTCCAGCTCTCGATCCCTCACCCTAACTCTGTGTGGCTCCAGCTAAATCACTCTCCTCCGAACCTAGTCTTTGAACAAAGAGCACAGATTCTTCCTCCCAAAGGCCTGTACCTGCGGCTCTCACAGTCCTGAGCACTGTCAGTAAGCATCCAGCACTGCATAGCTGCACAGCACATGTGAATAGCTAACATTTACTGAGCACTTACTACATACCAGGCTGTTTGAGTGTTTTATGTCTGTTTAATCCTCTCAACTACCCTTTGAGGTATGTACTGTTATTGTCCCCATTTTCAGACGAGATAACTGAGGTCCAAGATCACGGTCACACTCACACTCGGCTTTACTGTTTGGTGGCAGCAGGGAGGTGCGTGGGACGGGCCGAGGGACCCTGTGTAACCACTGTTCTCTGGGCCAGCCTGTGAGGTGAACCTGACCCTGGAGGGCCAGCTGGAGACACAGGGCGTCCTCAGCACACCATACTTCCCCAGCTACTACTCGCCCAACACCCACTGCTCCTGGCACCTGACGGTGAGCCCTGCACCCTGCCCACCCGCCCTGAGGACCTCCAGGGACCCCTCCTGGGAGGGCTGCACTGTCCTGCCTCTGCTCAAGCACCTACAGTCTGGGCCTGGGTCCAGATCCCTCTGGGAGGGGTGGCGGGGGTGGCCCAGTCTGGCTCTGTTGGCCACAGCAGTGCCTGTTTGCTGAGCGGCTAACAAACTTCAGCCCCAGCCGGCACTCTGTTGGCAGGCCTCCTTCACCCTTTGTTACCCTAGAAAGCGGGGTCACCAGGCCAGCCCACGGGCCGCCTGGTGACCAGCCCCCTCTGCCACAGGTGCCCTCCCTAGACTATGGCTTGGCCCTCTGGTTTGACGCCTATGCACTGCGGAGGCAGAAATACGACCTGCCGTGCACCCAGGGCCAGTGGATGATCCAGAACCGGAGGTACCCACCCCCTGGGACCCTGCCTCTCCCCACAGGTACCCCCTTGGGAGCCCAAGTCCTGGGCCTCAGAGGAGCAGCACAGGAAGACAGTCAAGGCGGGGATGCTCAGGCCTGTGGCCTCACCCCTGACCCAGCCCCTGTCGCACCCCTGCCCTGGCCCCAGCCTCCCAAAGGTCTCAGACACACCTTTGTCATCGGACACTTTGGACGTTGACCTTAGAGTGAATGGTTTCATTTCCTCGGGTGCTGTCACCCCACTGTCTGGTGCCCGGATCTTTAGATGAGGCGATGCAGACCCACAGGACCCGGCAGTGCCGGAGCGCCGTCCCTGAACCCCCAAGTGCAGTTGGAGGCCCCCTCCTCGTCTCGCTCCTCGCCCTCGGCAAAGCAGGTGGCTCCCCGGCCAGAAGCTGCAAGGCCAGCCCGGCACTTTCCTAACCTGACCGCGTCCGCCGGGATGCTTGGTAACCAGGGTCACCCGTGTCCCCTGGGGCACCCCCTGCTACCTCTTCTGCCCTTGGCTCCCGTGGTGACAAAGTTTCTGAAGAAATAGTGAGTCCCTCGGGGAGGTGGGCAGGACGCAGTGGGACCAGGTCACTCGGGTCAGCCATGGTGGCAGTTCGATCAGTAGGATGAGGCTGGTCAGTGTCCCCTGGGCCGGGCAGCCTGGGGCTGTTGGTGGTCCCGACCGCTGCACAGGAGTGGGGTGGGCAGTGAGGCGGGGCAGTGGGAGAGGAGGAGACGAGCGGATACTGAAGGAAGGGACATTTGCTGGGAGGGCTCCGTGTCTGACAGCTGTGCGGGAACTGGGGTAGCGAGGGAGAGAGGATGGCGGAGGTTCAGACGCAGGTGATCGTGCTGGGAGGGAAGGAGGCCCTGCCAGCTCCGTTGCTGGGTGGGGAGCAGAGGCCGGGGAGAGGAGGGTCTTGAAGTAGCCTTGCAGAGCCGGGAGACGCTCCCCACCTGGGGCTCAAGGACATTGGACAAGACTCCACATGTTACAGCAGGTTGGCCCTCTGCACTCCCTTCCATGCTGGGCTTCTTGGGTGTAAGAGGCTGGTGCTCTAACGCAAGGTCTAACGTCTTGGCTCCGCAGATTTCGAGCCTCCAAGGTTCCAATAAACAACAACTGGAAAGTTCTAGGACTTTGGAATGCTTGGATCTGGGCTTGGTGTACCCGTTCACTGACACTTACACTTTGCTGATAGGTTGACCCTATTCAAAAGCATCAGCCAGACAAAGGTGACAGGGACCCACAATGCTCGCTGACTCGTCATCGTCCTTTCCAGGGCTTTTGAAATTGCTCAGGGACTGTGGTTAAAAGGACAAAGAAGAAAAGCAGATGGGGGGACTTTAGGCCCATGCTCTTTGGGGGGTGACAGATGGCGTGAGTTCAGGCCCGTGCTGCCGGGGTGACGTCAGATGGTGTGACTGACGCTGTGCCGTTTGGGAGCAGAGGCATCGTGTCCACCATCCCCAGCATGTGGGCGGCATTTCTGGGCCTGACTGCCTTGCTCCTTCGTGGAGTTCCCTCGGGGCCCCCTGTCTACCTGCCCGGCCCCGCCCAGACTGCAGATGGCTGGGCGCGGCCCTAGGCTTCAGGAGCCCACAGAGTGACCCGACAGTGGCCATGCTTCACTGACTCATGACGCTCACTGAGTAATGATAGTGTTTTCCTATCACCTTCTCGACCCCGGAGTGAGTCTGATATGTCAGAGAGGGGCCAGGAGGGAGTGGGAAGGGCCCTGGGTGTGACACTCCTGCCCCACCCCCACCCCCGTCCCACCCCGTGGCCATTCCATTGGCCTGGAGCCTGGCCCGGGCCCATTGCTCAGCTGCTCCAAGCTCAGTGCTCAGCACAGGCAGCCAGTTCATGGGCCCAGTGGCCTGTGACACCCATAGTGACATCATCCCGTTTCCCCGAGAGGGACTCGAGGCTCAGTGGATTAGGTGGCGCCCGGGTCCTCGGTCAGGGCTTCTCCCACGCCCACCACCATGAGCAGCGGGACACACGACTGTCCACGCCGTGCTCCCTCCCTTCCTGAAGGAGCCAGGAGGGGCCGGGCAAGGGCACTGGGCGCCGGGGACTTCATGAAGTACCCTGGGTTTTAGAGGCGGACCCTGGATGCCCCAGTGGTGGGATTTCAGGCCCTGTGCCAGGTTCTAACGGAGGGGAGGAGGCTTCCCCTCCCAGAGTCTCAGAGAATCACTGAGCTGGAGGAAACGTGAGCTGCACGGGCCATAGAGCTCGGCCTCGCCCATTGCACAGGTGTGGAAACTGGGGTCCTTGTCGTCTGGCCTGGAGGTGGTGGGGGGACCCTGGGGTGCATCCAGGGGGTGGGTGCGGTGGGCAGGATGAAGCCTGGCAGGGCTCTTGGCCCCCGTCTCTTCCTCTCTCCCCACACCTCTCCCCTCCTGGAGGCCACCTGGTTTCTGCATGTGGCTCTGGGGACACCCCCTTCCTTGTCTGCAAAACAAGGGAGCTAGGCCAGCGCAGGCCCAGCTTTTCACTGTGTACCCATCGAAGATGCACCGAGCATGTTGTGTTTATTGGTTCCTAGTGAAATGTGGAAGGAGCTCAGGTGTGGAGACCAGGCAGGTGCAAATCCTGGCTCTTCTTCCTACTTGGCTAGATCTCAGCTCTCCCAGCCTCAGGGAACTCACCTGGGAAGTGGGCATGAAACAGATCCCCCCAGGAAAGACTAATGCAATCATGGATGGAGGACATGAAGAATCTCCAGAGGGCACCAACCGTGAATTAGTAACTGGCTGCTGACTGTGCCGGGCGGGCCCCGAGCTAAGGGGTTTAGCTGCCACTTCCTTCATCCTCCACTACCCGGCTGCCTTCATGGACCACCGAGGGCCCTGAGGCACAGAGGGGCAAAGTCATTTCCACAAAGCCACCCAGCTTGTAACTGGAGAAGCCGGAGTTGAGCAAGGTGGTCTGAGGCAGACCTGTGTGTGGGTGCATGTATGTGTGCCTGGGTCCGTGCCCCCATCACCTCACGTCGTCCACGCACTCATGTGTGCACACGTGTGTGCTCGTGCTTGTGCAGGCTTCCCGAGAGCCTCTGAGCAGCCGTGCTGGCTGTTCACCCTCGGCCAGGGCATGTCCGACCCAGCCATGAGCATCCTGATGAGGGCTGACGTTTCTGTGCCTCTCACCAGTTCCAAGAGCCGCCTGGAAAGCCCCTTCCCTATCTTCTCTGAGCTTTGGAAAGGGTCCAGGGTCCCCAAGTGGAGACTCATGTCCCCGTGCCCCCCGGCTGCTGTCCCTGTGGGAGTGCAGAAGGGAAGGCAGAGGCGTATCTCCAAACCAGACGCGCCGGACAGACTGTTTCCTCTAGTTACGACCTTTCGTGATAATGATCATCCTATGCACACGCTGGGAAATTCTGTGAATGAGCATTTGTTGGAAAATCTGCTGCGTGGGCGTAAAGACGTGAGAGTTCTGGGGAAGGGTGAGCCCTCCAGGCACGGGGTTTATAGGGAGGAGAGGCGAGTCCTTGGGCCCAGTGACCCCTGGCAGCAGAGGGGTTGGGGAGAGGGTGTCTTCTTACACCGCAGGGGCTAGCGCTGTGAGGCAGGAAGGGGGCCTGGGCTCTCCCCACCGCCTGGGCATCCCTGGGCACATCTCCTCACTCCTCTGAGCACTTTCTTCACCCCCCCCCCCACCTCCCTGCTTTCTGTCCAGCTTCTCCCGGTGCCCACCTGACTCGCTGAGGCCCTTTGAGTGGCGGGGAGGCGGGGCAGGGCCTGGGCTCATGCGATCCAGGCACCAGCTGCTGGGTTTCGCAGAACCGCTCGGCTGGGTGTCACCGCAGCGTCTTCCCCCTTTCCAGGAACCTGCCTCTTGGCAGCTTCCTCCCCGTGACGTCCCTGCTCTTGCGATCTGTCCAGCATTTCTACCTGTCTCCTGCTGACGGGGACAGGTGGAGCCTCTGGTTCCCAGGCTTGGAGCCCCCCTGGCCCAGCTGTGGGGGTGGGGGTTCTGCTCCAGGTCCCTGGGCGGCCAGCACCGCCTGCAGCTGCCGAGGTCTGGGCGTCAGGGCCTGTGCTGGTCCAGGTGAACCCGCAGCCCGACAGTGGCAGCAGCTGGCTTTCAAAGACGTCATTTCTCATGCATTCCTTTAAACACCCTCCAAGGAGAAAGTGTACCCCCACAAGCTGAGGTTGAGCCATGCGCCCAGGGTCACGGCTGCTTCAGGTGGCAAAGTGGGCTTGAAACTCCGCTGTGCAGCCCCAGGTCCGGTGCTCTGGCCGCCGCGGCGGACGCTGCTGTCCTCCCTCCTGTACTGCTTGCCTTTTCTGACCCCCGCTCATCTGAGCTGTCCTTAGGAGAGGGGACGCATCCATCCACCTTCCTTCCTTCTTTTCTTCCTTCCTTCCTGCCTCCCTTCTATCCACCACCCCGGCATCTATCCATCCATCCAATCTTTCTTGAATTCCTCCCTGTGTGAAGTTGCTGATGTGCAAGACAGTTGACAGGGACCCTGCTTACCATCTGAGACAAAAAGGAAAAATCCCCAACTCCAGAGAGGTGAGAAAGCAAGGCGGAGCACAGTGCAGACACGTGCCTTCAGGCCTTTGTGGCTGAGAAGAGGTGGGCTCCAAGGTGCTTCTTGGAGAGGCTGTGGGGAGAAGGTGGCATTTGGTGGGAGGGAGGAATCAGAGAGCTAGAGGCTGCCTCCCCTCCCCTCCCCTAGAGACTGCCTCTCCTCCCCTCCCCTAGGGGCTCCATACCCACCCCTAGGGGCTGCCTACCCTCCCCGAGGGGCTGCATACCCTTCCCTAGGGGCTCCACAGCAGGACCCAGAAATCAGGTGTGTGTAGTCCCATGAGGCAGCCTGCTCTGGGGAGTGGGACAGGTAACAGGGTGACATGTGCCCTGCCTGCTTCCTGCGGCCTCAGTCACCAGCCAGTGTTTTTGGGGCTTGTTTTTCAGGAGAAATGAGAATCTAGATTATTATGTAAAATCAGCACCTAAATTTGACAAAAACAACTAACACTGCTTAACAGACCATCTTGAGTTGAGTGACTGTCTCAGTAACTAGATTGCAGCCTCTGCCTTGGATTCTGGTCTGGCCATTTACTGACCAGGCGAGGCCCCAGGAATGCTTCTGCCCGTCCCTGCCCAGGCCTCCAGGGGCAGAACCAGATGCTGCTCAGGCTGAGCAGGTTCCTGGGGTACCAGGCTGAGCCACAAGCTGATTCTGGAATTCATTCTCTCAGACTCCAGTTGAGAACACGTCCTGTCCGCGGGTGCTGGTACCTTAGAGGGACCAGGAGACATGCTTCTAGAACATTTCCACTCCCCTCCACCGGGGCTCTGTTCCCTTCCTGTCTCTTCACAATCTCCGGGGACTGTGTGGGGACAGTGTCCCATGTCCTTGAACTTTAAGATGTTTAGGGATGTACTTGATCCCTCATTTCCCCTGCCCAGTATTTCCCAGCCCTGGGGGCTCCTTTGTTTCCTTAGTTTTAAAGAGACAAGAAGGGCCAGGCTTGCTCGGGGGTGCCCCCTGGTGGCACCTTACCCCAGTCTGGCTGCGCCCCGGGCTGTGGCATTCTTGTGTGAGAAGTGGTTGTATTTTCCACTTCAGGACCCCTTAAGACTTTTTTAAATTATTGAGCACCCCAGAGAGTCTTTATACAGGTTGCATAGTCCATATTTACAGTATTATAAATTAAAACAGAAAATTAAATATTTACCAATGCATTTAAAGTAATAATAAACCCATTACATGTTAACGTATTTTTATCTAAAAATTACATTTTTCAAAGCCAATAATATTTGGTGAGAAAAATAACACCATTTTACACTTTTGTAACTTCCCTTAATAACTGGATTACTAGACCACAACTGGATCCCTGCATTTGACTCTGCATTTAATCGATCACATCACATAGTCTCTGGAAAGTTCCACTGTATTCATGAGAGAGTTAAAAAGGCAAATGATATCTGAGCATTATCGGGAAATAACTTTTACTTTGGACCCCCAGACCTCACTTCGGGAACCATTTGTTGGGGGGCAAGAATACGGTCACAGTGTCCAGACAGCACAGGCCGGCTATTCCTCAGGCCAGGACTGGGGGGGACATGGGGACCCGAGGGCTCCGCCCCCGCAGCTCCTGGTGTAGTGAGAGTCTGGTGGCCCACCTCCCCCTGAGCAGGCTGGTGGGACCTCCTGGTCCCGAGGAGGCTGGATTCTGGCCTTGGGAACAATTCCTCCCTCACAGGGTGAAGGTGCTTCAAGAACCTCGAAGTCCCCGCACAAGTGGCCCTCGTCTGTGTCTGTCCCCCCAGGCTGTGTGGCCTGCGCACCCTGCAGCCCTATGCCGAGAGGATCCCCGTGCTGGCCAGCACCGGCGTCACCATCACCTTCACCTCCCAGACCTCCCTCACCGGGCCCGGCGTGCAGGCGCACTACGGCTTGTACAACCAGTCGGACCGTGAGTACGAGCTGGCGGGCGAGGCGGCCCCCCACGCCCACGGCACCAGGACGCTAGACGAAGGGAGTGAGCATGTGTGCGCATGTGTGCGCGTGAACACGTGCATGTGTACACAGACATATGCAGCTTTGTGTGTGCCCGCCTGTGCAAGGCAGTCATGTGTTCACTAGGTATGCACACTCACCCATACCGTGTGTGTGCTGTGCCTGGACATGGATGTCCACATGGACCATGTACACAGCATGTGCACATGTGGGTACTCGTGTAGCACATAGCTGCTGCATCTACTCGTGTTTTCATGCTGACACCTCCTAATGGCGCCCCCCAGCTTGCCCGGGAGAGTTCCTCTGCTCTGTGAACGGACTCTGCGTGCCCGCCTGCGACGGGGTCAAGGACTGCCCCAACGGCCTGGATGAGAGGAACTGCGGTGAGCGGCCGCCGCGCAGCCCCCCGCCCCCGCTCCGCCATGGGCTGAGCCCGCTCCTGGGAGAGACCCTGGCGTGCAGGCCGTGATGAGCATCCAGGAGTGGGGCTCTCTCTGCTGAGATGGCAAGATGAGGAGAGTGGCCTCTCCGTGGGGCAGTGGAGGGGACCAGCTGGCACCAGGTCTGACTCCAGCTCAGGGCTTATCCCCACCAGGCCCTCACCCCCGCCCCTGTCCCAGCCGGCCATCCAAGAAGGAGCAGAGGGCAGGCCCTGCGTGGCCAAGGGGAGAACCCCCGTCTCCCTCCCTTGAATGGGTTCTCACCCCTCCACTTCAGGGGTTCAGACGGAAGTTGCTAACTCTTAGTGGAGCTGCTCAGCCCGCAGAAGAGGCTCAGGGCCCTGGCGGTCTCCAAGCTTCTTCCCTGAATCCTGGCTCCGGACCCCGAGTCACCACTGGGCCGCTTGTTCTGGTCTCCTCTGCCCAGATCTGCCTCCTCCCCCCCCCCAAAGTTCCCAAGGTGCGGGGAGAGAAGCCGGAGGAAGGGGGGTATGCTTCCTCTGGATGATCCTGCCCGGGTGAGGGCACGGTGCCTCATTCGGAACCAGAACATCTGGCTTCGAGTTTTGGCTGAGCCAGCTGACCTTGTTCCCGCTTCCACCGGTGAAATGGGGTCTCACCAGCCGCTGTGACACTTGGTGTGACAGCCGAGGAGGAGATCTGTGGTTGCGACGTGCAGTCCCAGCCTGGCTCCTCTGCCCCCCCCCTCGATGTCCCCACACAGTGTGCAGAGCCACCTTCCAGTGCCAGGAGGACAGCACGTGCATCCCCCTGCCCAGGGTCTGCGACGGGCAGCCCGACTGTCTCAACGGCAGTGACGAAGAGCGATGCCAGGAAGGTAGGGTGCAGTATGACCAGGCGTCTGGAGGGAAACCAGGGAATGGGTCTCAGCCAGCCAGCCCTTCTGCATGCTCCTCGGGCAAAGGTTTCTGCTGTTGTCCAGACACTTACCAACCCATCGTGTGTCCATCCACGCATCCACGCGTCTTCTGGTGTCTCCAGCCAGAACTTGAGTGTACATCCACTCATTTATCCATCCACCACCTCCCTATCCACTGAACCATCAATCTACCCATTTATTGGTTTACTCGATTATCTGTCTGTATGTCCGTTGTTCCATCTGTGAATGCATGTTCTCTCCAACTGCCTGTCTGTCCTTTGACATCCGCTCAGTTATCCATCCGAGCTGTTTGTCAGTCTCCCTACTAGACCATCAATCTATCCATTTGTTGGTTGGCCCAACTTTCTACCTGTGTCCATTGGTTCATCCATCCATCCATCCATCTGACCAACCAACCAACGCTTGCGGGCTACCCAGTGATAGGAGAGGCAGAGGGAGGAAGGAGGAGTAAAAGATACCAGAGAGATGATCTCTCCCTCTGGGGACATGATGCGAGACTGTCAAAGCCTTCTGTTCGTATGTCCAGGAGCGGGGGAGGCTGGGGATGGGGGAGATCAGGCGGGGACACTTTCTCGAGGGGCAGGCCTTGAACTGGGCCTTGCAGAGGCAGAGGAAAGGAGACCAGGTGAGAACAGGTAGTGGAGCAGCACGTCTTCGTGCGAAGGCAGTGAGGAGCGGGTGGGCGGCAGGTCGGGCCAGGACCTGGAGGACCACCGGCTAAGTCAGAGCCTCGTCTGCTCCTTCGAGCCTAGTCTGAAAGTGGAGTCACGGTTCTGCGTTCCGGTTCCACACTGAAGTGGGAGGCGTGACCCTATGGCCTGGGGCCCCAGTCTGAGGCGGGAGACATAGCCTTGTTCTCGACAGAACAGTGGGGGGGGGGGGGCACATAGTCTGCCTTAGGAGACGCTGAAGGAGCCTCGGGAGCCTGCCTTATGATCACGAGACCCTTCACCAGCCACCTCCTGGCCTCCTCCAGGCTTTGTCTTCCCTGGGCCTCGATGTGGAGGCTGCCTTGGGCGCAGGGACCCATCCTCTGTGCCCTGCCCCCACCCCCTCTATCCCAGGGGTGCCCTGTGGGACATTCACCTTCCAGTGTGCGGATCGAAGCTGCGTGAAGAAGCCCAACCCGCAGTGTGACGGGCGGCCGGACTGCGGGGACGGCTCCGATGAGCTGAGCTGTGGTGAGCCTGCCCGCTGGCCGCCGGCTCCACAGGCGCCCCCCCCCCCCGCACCCCAGGCCCTGGAGCATGGGAGGGAGGCAGGGGTGCCCACACCAGGACATCAGTCCATGGAGGGAATGCTCACGTCCACCTGTCTGTCTATCTCCCTCCGTCCTTCATGCTTCCCCTCCGTGTCTCCCTCTGCTCTCCCTCTTCCCTCCCCTCCTCTGTCTCTGCCGCTCTGGCCTTCCGGCCCCTCCACCTCTGTCCCCCCTGCCCTCTGTCCCCACCCCAGACTGTGGCCTCCAGGGCCCCTCGGGCCGAATTGTGGGCGGGGCCGATTCCTCAGAGGGTGAGTGGCCGTGGCAGGCCAGCCTCCAGGTTCGGGGCCGACACATCTGTGGGGGAGCCCTCATCGCTGACCGCTGGGTGATCACAGCTGCCCACTGCTTCCAGGAAGACAGGTGAGGGGAGGCTGTGGCAGGGAGGCCCCGTGTCCCTGAGCCCTAACAGACAGAGGGAAGGCTGGTGAGGGGCTGCCCAACCTGGCCGTTTTCACACTTGGGTTCCATCCCGGCTCCGCCCCAAACATACTCTGTGGCCCTGGACAGGTTGCTCAACCTCTCTGTGCTCTTCTTTGGGTGCCTTGTTTTAAGTTAGGCCAGCGATTCGCTTGTTCACTCACTCATGCACCCATTCAGCAATACCCATTGCTCCCGCTGTGTGCCAGGGGTGTGCTTGAGGCTGGAGGCACAGCAGAGAACGGAAGAGCCTGGCCCCTCACAGACCATGACCCCTCCCCTCCAGGTGGTCCCCTCGAGGGACGTCTCACCCAGCCTCACAGACATCTTCCCGTGTGCATGGTGGTGGGCTCACGATGCCTTTTCCACCCCAGCCCTATCTTCGGGGACCCCAGCCCCCGCCCCCAGCGCGGTCACACCTCCTCTTCTGTCCCGGTCTGCACAGTCCCCAACCAAAGGCTTGGAGCTCCCAGGACACCCTCTCCTCCTTACATCCAGAGCTAGACTGCAAGTGTTCTCAGTGCTCCGGACGAATCCTCACCCACTGCCCGTCCACACTGCCACCATCGCCCCCACCGCCCGCAGCCCAGAGCCCAGGTGCCCGGGGACTCTTTCCAAGTGCAGTCTGACCACTTCACTCTCTTTCACTCTATCCCTGGCCCCCTCTGCCCAGAAAGTAAAGAAAGACCTGGACTAGCATGCAGGGGTCTCGGAGGCCCGGTCTGCAGATTCCTCCACACTCAACTCCCACCCCTCCCGGTGAGGACTGGCGAGTCGCAGCGGGCTCACAGCAGCCCACCTATAAAGTACACAGAGAGAGAAGGAGGTGCCTGTCAGGTGCTTGCACCGTGCTGATTTTTTACATAAACTGACTGCGTTCCCCAGGAAACATGAGTAGAAAGTGCTATTCCCGTTTCACAGATCAGGAGACTGAGGCTTACAGCAGCACACACATATCTGTGGAGCTGGGGCTGGAGCCCAGGTAGCGGGCTCCAGGGTGGACAGTGAGCTCTGTGCCAGCCTCCAGCCACCTGGCCTTCCCAGGAAGGTCTGGGATGGGAGAGGCGGCCACTGAGCAGGACACCCTCCCTGCCCCAGCATGGCCTCGCCGGCGCTGTGGACGGTGTTCCTGGGCAAGGTGTGGCAGAGCTCCCGCTGGCCGGGCGAGGTGTCCTTCAAGGTGAACCGCCTGCTCCTGCACCCCTACCACGAGGAGGACAGCCACGACTACGACGTGGCCCTGCTGCAGCTGGACCACCCCGTGGTGCGCTCGGCCGCGGTGCGCCCCGTCTGCCTGCCTGCGCGCTCCCACTTCTTTGAGCCAGGCCTGCACTGCTGGATCACCGGCTGGGGCGCCCTGCGCGAGGGTGGTGAGCAGGCCTGCGGGGTGGGGAGACGGGGGGGGGGTGCGCCTCCTCCCCTATCTAGCCTAGAGCTGGCAGGGCAGGGGGCCCAGCGCTCTGCCCCCAAGGCCTGCAAGTCCTAGGATAAAGTTGGACTGGATTTTGCAGAACAAAACAACCTTTTACTACCCTACCCTCCTGGCCCTTCCCTTCCTCCTGGAATGGCATTTAAGGAGAACTGAAGTCATAGGAGGTTATCTTGGAGGATATGTGTGGGGTAAAGGGGCAGGCCAGGGACCCCACAGCCTACAGGCAAGCTCCAACCGTCTGCTCCTTGGTGGGGTGGAGGTGTACATGAGTGTGTGTGTGTGTGTGTCTGTGTGTTGGGGAACAAGGTCTTAACTAAGGCTGGATTTGAAGGGAACAGTTTCATTTAATCCACCTAATAACCCTAGGGTGAGCATTATGGCCTTATTTTATGGGTGGGGAAACTGAGGCTCGGAGACATTTAGCAGTTGCTCAGAGAGGGTTGGAGCAGAGACTGGAACCCAGGACTGCCTGACCCCCAGAGCCCCTGCTGTGCCTAAACTGATCAGTGCCAGCTATCCCTAGAGGCCACCTCTCAGTTCTGTGAACACAGGCTGGGCTGACAGCCATGCCCTGTGCCCTCAGGTGGTGGCTTTTAAAATGTGTACAATAGTGGCAGGCTTGGCTCAACAGTTAGAGCACTGGCCCGGACCAAAAGGTCATGGGTTCGATTCCCGGTCAGGGGCATGTACCTGGGTTGCAGGTTTGATCCTCAGCCTGGGTTGGGGTTGTGCAGGAGGCAACCAATCAATGTTTCTCTCTCTCTCTCTCCCCCCCTCCCTCCCTCCTTTTTACTCTACCTAAAATCAATGGAAAAATATCCTTGGGTGAGGATCAACGAACAAACAAAAAAGTAAAATGTGCACAGCGACTTACAATGTGGAGGCAGGGCTGTATACATAATTTATAAAGGAGGAAACAGGCTCAGATGAAAAGTGACTGGCCTAAGAGGTTGCTGGAGAACAGTGGTAAAGCAAGGACTGGTTCCCTGATCATTCATTCATTCATTCATTCATTCATTCATTCATTCATTGTGACAAATTTATGAGCACCTACCATATGCCAGACATGAGTTGGGCTATGGGGACAGAAAGGTGAAGTGAGAACGTCCGCTGGGGAGACAGGCAGTGTAAGAGCCGACCTGGGTAGGCAGGCAGCCCAGAGGAGGCGCCCTACAGGCAGGGCGAGGGAGGCTCCCAGGGTGGGCGGGCTAAGCTGAGTTGGCCGTCCTGGCGGAGGGGAGGCATTACCAGTAAGGCAGCCCAGGGAGCTCGGAACGCCCAGCAGAGGAAAGCCGGCAGGCGGATCGGTGAGGCTCGGTGGGGAGGGTGTTGGCAGGTGCTCACAACCACCTGAGGACTTCCAGAAGGACGCTGATGCCCGGACCCCACTCCAGTGAACGGGTCTCCGAGTGAGGCCAGGCCCAGTGCATGCTGAAGCTTCTTGGGGGTTCCACCCACGGTCCCTGTGGATGAGTGCTGGGCGGGACGGGGGAGAGGCTGAGGGGTTTCAGAGCAGTGGAGGCTCTGGGAAAACCCCCTGGGGCCGTCACAGAGCGGAGGGGAGGGGCCCAGAGGCCTCCAGCAGGAGGAGGAAGGGGAGGGGCAGCTGGAGAAGACGCCAGTCCAGACAGGCGTTGGTGGGGCTCAGTGCCCCTGGGCCACACAGAGGAGGTGGAGGTGCAGGGTGTGGGCAGGGCAGGAGGCAGGACTTGCGAGATGCCAAGGAAACAGTGGCAGGAAGGGAGGGCCCCCTGGGCATCTTGGATCTTCTCACCCCTGCCTCTGGCCCTGCCCTCGCCGGGCAGGCCCCACCAGCAACGGCCTGCAGAAGGTGGACGTGCAGCTGATCCCGCAGGACCTGTGCAGCGAGGCCTATCGCTACCAGGTGACGCCCCGCATGCTGTGTGCCGGCCACCATAAGGGCAAGAAGGATGCCTGCCAGGTGACTCCCTGGGGCCTGGGGGGTGGGGGAGGGGGACGCTCATATTACCCAGGGCCTGGGCACCTGCTCACATCAGCTTGCTGAAGCTTTGTGGGCCCCCAGCAAGGTGGGGATGTCTGTCCCCACTTTACAGATAACAGAACTGAGGCTCGAGGGGGTTGAGGGACTGGCCCCATGTTGCAGGCCACAGATCAGGAGAGACCCATGGTGGGCAGGCAGGTCCGGGCTCAAACCGGGTTCTGCTCGTTGCCCACCGCAAGGCAGTTGGCCCGAGGTGACATGGTAGAGAGTTCTAGAAGGAGGCAGAGGTGGACGGGGCCTGTGGACTCAGCCCGCGGCCGGTCAGGGCTCACTGGAGGCCGGGCCCAGGTATGGGGAAGCTGAGGCTTCAAGAGGCAATGCGACCTCCTTGCGGTCACTCAGCCCCAGCAGTTACTCCGTCCTGAAGTGGGGGTGCCCTCACCCTGACGCAGCCTGTCTCTCCTCCCCCCAGGGCGACTCGGGTGGCCCACTGGTGTGCAGGGAGCCCAGTGGCCGCTGGTTCCTGGCGGGGCTGGTCAGCTGGGGCCTGGGCTGCGGCCGGCCCAACTACTTTGGCGTCTACACCCGCATCACAGGTGTGATTGGCTGGATCCAGCAGGTGCTGACCTGAGGAGCTGCCCCCCTGCGGAGCTGGGCCCACCTCCCGGACTCAGCCCAGAGCACCCATCAGGCGGGGGAAGAAGCACTCTGGGGCGCAGGCCCTGTGGCAGCAGGAGGGGGCGCCTTGCCCCGCAGTCTGCTTCCTGACATCACCCAGAGAGGGAACAGGAGAGAGAGGGCCCTCAGCGGGCGGTCAAGACTCCCTGCGTGCCCAGAATGGTCACCAGGCCCGGCTGGTGGGTTCACGTTCAGCCTGTGGCCCCCATCCCCTCTCTTCCTGCCCCGTTCTTCACTGCTGATTTCGAGGGAGACTGTTCAGCAGAGATGTGGCCTCCAGGTCCCAGGAGGAGTGTCTGAAGCCCCACCCGACCCCGGTGCTGAGGCTGCGCGGGCAGCACCCCCAGAGAGCAGATTCCAAGCCCCGGCCTAACCTGAGAAGTGGGGGTGGAAGGTGCTGGAGGGGGGCCCTCAGAGCCCTGAAGACAGCCCAGTGGGCCAGCTGTCACTGAGCCAACGGTGGGGGAGCCCTGGGTCCCGGCTTCTCACCACGCCCCCGCCTGCCCCGGGCCCGCCCGCCCTCACCTGGAGGTGAGCTCAGCTGCCCTGGAATAAAACCGTCTGCCCAAGGCCGGCTCTGGGGGTTGAATGGGGCCCCGGCACCGCCCTCACCCCTGACAGCACTCTGCTTCCTGCCCAGAGGCCAAGGTGGGGGTCAGCGGGGGCAGGGGTGGCTGGTGTCCCTCGGGTCACAGGGGTGGGATAGGGATGGGCTCCTCTGAACCCTTGGGAGGAAACAGGCTGAGGGAGGGGCAGAGGCATCTCATGCTCTCACCAGGGGTTAGGAGTGCAGCCGGTGCTGGGTCTCCTGGCTCCTGTCTACCCTTTGACACCCCTTCCTGTTCCGGTCATCTCCCTGCGAGCATCTCCCAGGGTCCTGACAAGTGTCAAGTGCTGTGCTGGGGCCTCAGACACTCACAGAACTTGGCTCCTGACCTCGGGGGTTGGGGATGACGATCCAGGATGAAGGCTTTGGGGTGCCTCTCAGTGGGAAGGCAGAGAAGGCTGCCTGGAGACCTGAGCTGGGCTCCAAGGTGGCTGAGGTAGGGAAGGGCCTTCTAGGCAGGGGAACAGCATGTGCAAAGGCAGAGTGTCCCAAAGGAACGCGGCACACTAGGGAACGGTAAGGTGTGTTTGGTTAACAGGGGCTGACTGGGAGAGGTGGGGAACTGAGATCAGATGCTAAAGAGCTTGGAGTTATGGACTTGACCTGCATGCCCTGGGGAGCCATGGAAGGCTCTATAGCAGGGGAGTGGCACATGAGTGGATTCGCAGTTCAGAACCACCACTGGCACCAGTGTGGAGAGAGTGGGAGGCAGGGAGGCCACTGCAGAACTCCAGGCAGGAGAGGATGGGCCGGGACTGAGGGGGCCATGGGGAAGGACCCTCATTGTCTACAACTGGATGGGTGAGTGAAGGAGGGGTCACCGAGGACCACTGCCTGAGAGCTGGTCGGTGGAGGGCCCACTGCCTGACCTGGGGCATCCGGAGAGGGAGAGGCTGTGAAAGGGGTCATGAACTTGGGGTACCTCTAGGAGGGAGGTGCCCAGGAGGCAGGTGGTGCTTGAGCGAGGTTTGGAGGGATTTCAGAGCCACCACCCATGTAACTGGGGGGACACTGAGGCTGTTGGGGAGATAGAGATGCTGAAGACAGTAGGAGGCTGAGGATGTGGCCAGAGGCTGGGGGGAAACTGAGGCATGGAACTCTAGCACCAAGGCCATGGCCAGGGGGGTGGTCGGGGAGAGCCACAGGGCCAGGGCCTGGGCCACCGGTGCCCCTGGTGCAGGGGTGGTGGAGAGGAAGGGGCAGCCAGCTGGGAGAAGGAAGGAGTCTCAGAGACCTAGACCGAGGGGGTGTAAGAGACAGCGGCCTCGGACAGAGGGAGCACCCAGGAGCATGCTCTGCGGAGGGCGGAGCCAGCAGCTGGAGCACATGCTGTGGGTGGGCTCCTTTAGGGTGGGGGCAGGATGGTAGGCTCACAGGGCAGAACACTGTTGGGTGCTCTGCTAAAATGCAAACTACAGGCCTAGCTCGTCTGAGTAAGAACGGAGAGTGGTGGTGGGTAATGTTTTCAACAAGACTCTTGGGGACTCTTTTGCAGCAAATCTGAACGTAAAGAGAGGTCAGGCCCTGGCCCACGTAGCTGTTTTTAGGGTCAGCCTGCAAACCGAAGGGTTGCGGGTTTGGTCCCCGGCCCTGGTCAGGGTACATGTGGGAGGCAACCGATCGATGTGTTTCTCTCACATTGATGCTTTTCTCTCTCTCCCCCTCCACCCCTCCCTTCCTCTCCCTAAAGATCAATGGACAAAAATAGTCTCAGGTGAAGCTTAAGAAGAAGTGAGGTCAGCTCAGCAAGTGGAGTGCCCTGTGGGGAGTCGTGACCCCCACCCCAATGCCGAGGCAGAGGAGCCTTGCTGGCCCCAGAGGCCTCTGCTTAGGGGGTCCCTGCTCTGCAGGGCTGTCCCCCAGCAGCACCAGGGCGGGGAGGGAACTGGCCAGGTGGCAGGGGCAGGGTTCTGTGGGGCGGGAAGAGAAGCCAGGGTCCAGGGGGCTGTAAAAGGTGGAACAGGGACCTGGTGCTTATGTTTCTGGGACTTGGAGCAGAGGGTGGGGCAATAGGGAGGGGTGGTGGTGACCCAGAGTTGTCATAGCAGGAAGCGGGGGTGTCCTGGGGGTTGGGATGGAGCAGAAGGTGGTCTCCACAGGGGCGGAAAGCCTGGAACCCAGCTCCCCACCCCCTCAGTAACCCCAGCTGGCCTAGGGCCGCCTGGAGGCAGGAGACCCCGTGACTAGGGGCTGGGCCTGGGAAGTCATCTGGCCCCACCCGTTTTATAGCTGAGACAGGCCCAGTGCGGTGGGCAGCAAGACAGAGGCTCTGGGTGTCGGGGCAGAGGGCCCAGCCATGAGCCCCCCACCCCACAGGGGACAGGGCAGGGTCCCTGGGCTTTAGGAAAAAGCCCCATCACCTTTGGGTCATCTACCCCACCTTGAGTTTATCCCGTCTCCAAAAGTGACCCAAAGAAAGAGAGAGATGACCGGGCCCACGGTTCCTTCGCATTTTATTCCCCGGTGCGGCTGAGCACTGCTGAGAGGGGCCCGGACAGAGGGTGTCCCCCTTTCCCCTCGCCTGCCCGCTCCTGGCCACTGCACTGTCCCCAGCAGTCCAGGTGAAGGCCGAGTCACACCCCCTTCGGGTAGGGCCAGCCCACCCCCCTCATCCCCCACCAATATCCGCGCCTCTGGGGCTACACTGGTCCTTCCCCTGGGAGGGGAGGGTGAAGGGGGCCACCGTGGGTCTGGCCCTTACTCCCTGAGGGAGGCCTTTCTGGGACCCCGATCCCCTTAGGTGTAACCTCACAGCAGCCCGTGAGGTAGTGGGGGAAGAGTGAACCCATCTGACAGACAGGGAGAGTAAGGCTCAAGGAGGGGAAGTGACAGGGCCAGGAGGGATCACATCCGCCATGCAGCTGGGGGCCTCGGGGGAGGGGGCACAGGGGCCTGGGAGACAGAGCTGGACAGCGCCACGCTGTGGCCACCGGCAGGCAGCTCTGCCCAGGGGCCCCAGGGCCCAGCAGGGAGACAGGAGCAGGCAGAGATGGCAGTGGGAGGGGCACTTCCTCCACCTTGAGCTGGGGGCCCACCCCGCGGTACAAAAATAAAGGACTTCGGATCGGAACCCCAAGTCCCTGGAGGTGATCTGGGGCCTCACATCCGGGTGCCTCTGGCTTGTAACAGCTAGAAAATAAGAGGGAAAGAGGAAGGGGGACAGGTGCAGGGTGGTCAGGACACCGGGAAGGGGATGCGGGGGGCCGGTAAGGAGGGGGTGATGGGGGCCAGGAGGACAGAGAGGAGATTGAAATGGAGGGAGGGAGGAAGGGGTGCGGGAGAGAGGGAGAGAGAGAGAGTAGGTGAGTCACAGGGTCCCTTCTGGGAGCAGGGAGGGGGCTGAGGCCCAGAGAAGGTGGAGTCAGAGCCCAGAAGGGGGGGACAGGAAGGGGACCCAGCTGGCCTGTCTGGGAGCCCCATACCCAACTCGGGGCCGTGGGGGCTGCCTAGGACGCCAGATCCCACCGACTCCAGCCAGGGGGTCAAGGCCAAGAGGCAGGCCAGAGAGCAGCTCCCTATCTCTGCTTCAAAGGCAACTACCATTCTGGGGGAAGGGAGCTGCCCGTCACACTGGGGCAGACAAGCCCGATGGGGCTTCTGGGCTCCAGACCAGGGCTGTGTCTGCCACACCGGAGCCTGAGCCCTGGCTGGCTCCTCGTAGGCCAGGATCGAGGTGTGCCTTGTCCTTCCCGCCCCGCACACGGGAACCCAGGCCTGAGGCCGGGAGGCAGGAGCTCCCGCGTGCAGGGGAGGCCAAGGCACCCGGCTGGTTCCCTTCCCTCCTGCCCAGCCTGCTCGGCGCTGATGGGCAGATAGAGGGCAGTTTCCACCCCTAACTCTCTTCTCTCATATCCTCACATCCAAGGCCAAGGTCGGCTGGGAACTTTGATGAGGGGAGAAAAATCAGCCCAAAGTTTGGCCCAAGTCCGAGGAATAAGAGCTGAGCACCCTCCTGGCTTCTGCCCTCCCTCCAGCTCCGCCAAGCTACAAACCAAGGGTGGCAGCTCTGGGGGCGGGTGAGGGGCTGAGAGGCCCTCACTGCGCGCGGCCCCAGGTCTGAGGGGTGCAGACGGGAACCTGCAAGGAGGAAATGTGAGGAGGAGGCGAGGCGGGAGGCGCTGGGGCCGGCGGCCCGGCCTCAGAGGTGCCCAGTAGGGTTGGCAGGCCCAGAGGAGGTGCAGCTGCACCCCTCCTCCTCGGGCCAAGAGGCAGGAGCTGCCAGAAGGGATGCAGGCGGCGGCAGGGGGGATGCTCTGAGATGCAAGGCTGGGGCGCCTGGGTGGAGGGCACAGGAGGCTGGGGCCAGGGTGGCCCCGGGATGGAGGCATGAGCAGGCAGAGAGAAGACCCGGACAGGGGCAGAGAGGGAAGAGGCAGGGTGCAGATGAGATCCAGGAGGAAGAGGAGGTGGATGAAGATGAGGCAGGACCTCCAGCGGGAAGCGGAGGAGGAGGCAGTGGTAGGAGGGAGAAAAGGTTAGCGGGGTCCCGAGATGACTGGGCTGCAAAGAGAAAGTGAGAGAAGGGATGGTTATGCAGGTGAGGTGCAGGCAGGCGGCTGAGCTACCCTGGTGGCCCGCCCCCCGCAGTCCCGGCCCCCCAGGTTCTGCGCTGAGTCCAGCAGGGCGGGCGGGCGGGCGGGCGGCTCCGGCTTGGATTAGCAATCATTCTCCTGGGGGTTGGCTGCACCTTTCTCCTGTGTATCTGCCTCCACCTGCACCTGTTCCACCTCCACCTCCTCCTCCTCCTGCTGCTGCTCCTCCTCCAGCTGCTCCTCCGCGCTCTGTGAACCAGCCGGCGGACCCAGGGAAGAAAGAGTGCAGAGCTAACAAGGGGGCCTGCGGGCGGCTGTCCCCGTGGGCCCCAGCTCAGGGCGGGCGGGGGGCTCCCAGGAGAGAGGAGGGCTCCAGCACAGAGGCGGGGGCATCTGGTCCAGTCCCCTGGGAAGCCTGGGGAGGGACTGGAGAAACCAGCAGAGGATGGGCCCTGCGGGGTGCTCCCGGGCCAGGCTGGCTGCTGTCACATGGAGCAGGCTGGGTGAGGGGACGAAGAGGACTGCAGTGGGGGTGCGACGGGTGGGTGTGTGGCGGGGGTGTCCCTGAGGGACGCCTGGGAAGGCCTCGTTTTAGGAGGGCTGCCCTGGAGTTGGATGAGGCCTGGGAGGACCCAGGGCAGACCCCACTCAGGACTGGGATGCCAGCAACAGGCTCTGGCCCAGAGGCAGAAGCCAAAGGCTGGCCCTGTACCCTGCAAGGCAGGCCAGCCACTGGCCCGGAGGGGCTGGTGGGCAAGGGAAGTCACAGGACAGGGAAGGCAGACAGACAGACAGACAGGAAGCCAGACTGCATGTCTCCAACGCACAGGGACAGACCCCGGAAGGAGCGGTCTCCTTTCCTCCCAGCCTGGCTTGCTGCCTGGCCCACGGGCCTACGGAGGCGCCTGAGGCTTCCGACCAGCGGTGGGTCCAGGCTGGAAACTCAGGGCCGACCCCCGGGGTTCCTGCCGCCTCTCCCACAGGGCGCCCGAGGCCAGCTGGGGACACGGACCCGCCCCTGGGAATAAACTGCCCATTAGGAGCCAGAAGTCCACCAATAGGATGTGATCTGCCCCTCAGTTCTCAGAGGACACAGCGGAGGTGCGGAGGGGACGGACTTGTCCAGGTCACACAGAGTGAACACGTCACGCCAGACCCCTCAGCCAGAGTGCTCCCCTCGTGCCACGCCACCATGGCCACCACTCAAGTGGCATCTAAGTCACTCTTGCTGCACCCTCGGGATGGTCCCATCTCGGTGCTCCCCAGCCTGGGCCTGGGTGACCAGCATGAGCAGACAGGACCATGGGTGGCATGGGATGGATGGCGTTGGCTGTGACCAGGGTTATGCGTGTGCAGCAGGAGGAGGAAGAAGAAGCGGGGATGGCTCCGTGGGGCGCAGGGAGGGGAGGGTGGAAAGCGGGGAGGCGGGTGGGAGGCTCACCTTGGTTTTGCGGCTGGACTCGGAGCTCAGCCCGTGGGGGGAGCTGTGGAGCTCCTTGGACACCACGCACAGGAACTCCGCCTGGTCCTCACTGCCATAGTTGTAGGAGGAGCCAATGTTCACCAGCTAGAGGGGTGGGCAGGGAGAGACCACAGGTCCAGGTGGGGGCAGCGAGGAGGGGGAGGTGGCAGTCAGCACTTGTCAAGATACCGACCCGTGTCCTGACCTGGCTGTTTTGCTCAGGCATGTCCCTGGGTTTCCAGAGGACACCTGAGGGCTGAAAGTCAGGAGCCTTTTCTCTTCCCCCATCGAGGCTTCTGCTGTGTTTTCAGACCAGCCTCGGGCTGGCTGGGCCAGGTCCCTGGAGGGAGGCTCTGGTACCCCTGCAGCTCCTCCCCCAGCCCACCCGGATCTAGCAGGCCACTTCCTAAAGGCAGGAGGTTTGCAATGGGCAGGCTGTCACCTTCTCTACCGCGTGTGGCTGAAGCAGCCCCAGAACCAGGTTGGCATGGTGGAGCTCCATAGAATATTCGGTCCACTCTTGGAAGCAGAGGGAGGACAGGCCCCCACTCTTCAGGTCAGAGGTAAATGACCAGTGCCCCTGACCTGCTGGCTCAGCCTCTGCGAGCCCAAGCAATGGCCAAAGACTCCCACAGCCTCTCAAGGGTGGTCCCACCTGCATTCTGGGGTCACTGGAATAACCATGGCCAGAGGCCCCTCTGGCCGACAAAGGTCCTGCCTGGGACAGGCCCCACTCAGCCCTCAGGGACCCTCATCCAGCAGGCAGAGAAGTACCAGCCAGCTTGGCAGGCAGGCTCGGAGAGGGGTGACCTGCTGGAAGTCCCACAGGGGAAGAGGGGAACAAGAATTCGAATCTGCGATCCCAAGGCCTCCCTAGGGCCTTACAGACTTAAATACTTCTAATTATTTGCCTGATGCCAGCTCATCCCAATGTCTAGAGTCCTACCCTGGGCTAGGGACTCCATCAGTGGTCCTTCTGATCTTCCCGACAGTCCTGCATCACAGACCACGAACTGAGGCCCAGAGAGGAGACGTGACTTGCTCAGGGTCACATCGCATGTCACTGGTGAGGCCCAGGCGTGAACCAGGCCTCTAGCTCCTGGACGGGGCCCCTCCTCCACACTGCCCGGCCATCCCAGGAAGCCCAGCCTCGCCCTTCTCCAGCCTCCGCCGGGAGCATGCGTGTGGGCGTGGATAAACGGCTAGCCAAACCTTCTCTACGGGCAGATCTGACCTCGGGTTAACTCCCTGGCTCTGTTGCTCTGGAAACCTGAGACAGGTGGGACATCCACTGTTACTAGGGCAACACCACTTATAACAAAAGTCCCTGATGGAGCAATGGAGGCCCGGCTGGTTTGGCTCAGCAGTTAGAGCACTGGCCCGCGGACCAAAGAGTCGTGGGTTCGATTCTGGCCAAGGGCATGTACTGCAATTGCGTTTCGTCCCCGGCCCTGGTCAGAGTCGTGCGGGAGGCAACCAATCGATGCGTCTCTCTCACATCGATGTTTCTCTCTCTGTCTCTCTCTTCCTCCCTCCCTCCCACTCTCTCTGAAGATAAATGGAAAACTATCCTCCAGTGAGGATCTAAAAAAAAAAAGTCCCTGATGGAAAACCTGCCTCTGGACTGGGAAGAACTAGAGGTCACTCTAAATTCCTCAGGGGAAGTCACCGCTTTGGGCTTCCCTGAGTATGGCAATGCCTGTGACTGGGCCCGGGCCTTGCAGGGATCCTGGGAGCGGGGCCTATGGAATTGTTCCAGGCGTTGACCCCAGGTGGACTCCGCTCACCTATGTGGATCTCAACTCCTTGCAGCTGAGCTATCACTGGGGGGAGGGGCAGAGACTCGCTCATACTACCGTGTAAATGACTACCCGGTTGCTGTGAGCACTCCCAACCAAGGACGCCCAGAGCTGCCCCGCAGCAAGTGGGGCTCCTACCCTCTCTTGTCCTGGTCAACCTGAGGCCAAGGGTGGCCTTTCTTAATCTTGTTTACTCTAACTTGAGAAGACCCCTGGGTGGGGGGCAGCAGTGGGGACCCGAGGCTGAGGCTGCAGGAAGGGAGGGCCTATGCTGCCTACAGACTGGGAGGTCCTGGGCGCGGTCCCCATGTCCCCAGCCCACCTGCTCAAAGCGCCAGCCGTCAGACATGGTGGAGACCATCTGCGTGAGCTCCTCCTCCTGGCACTGCAGCACCCGGTACACGTGCTTGGGCGGGACCTGCTGGCAGAAGGGCGATGTGGAGGGCACCTGTGGGGGCGACGGGCACCCAGGAGGGGGGCGAGCACCTGCCCTCCCCCCAGCTTCCCTCCTCCCACAGCATATGCCCCTGGAAGGAGAGAAGGGGGAGTGGTAGGGGAGAGATGGGGCCATGTTCCCAGTGCCGACTTCGTGCCGGGCACTCAACATGCGTGATCTCGATCCTCCCAAACACTCTGAGTTATGGGATTTCCATGAAGGCTCAGAGAGGGTCAACTACTTGCCCAAGGTCACCCAGCTAAAGAGTGGCAAAGCCAGAACTGGAACAAGGTGATACAAGAGGGGAGGGAGGGGCTTGGGGGACATTCTGGGTCACTGACCGAGGCAGGCCCTCCCCCTTCCACCAGCAGCCAGGTGGTGCCTGGCTGCATGTTCCCCAAGTCCACCCGGCGGGCCGGTGCTCCTCCCACAGACTGGCCACTGCTCAGAAATGCCAGCGCCAGCAGCTGTGCTGTGCCCTCCAGGGGACCGCGTGATCCCGCAAAATTTACTGCTCTCGCATTGCCCCCTGATGGGCCCCCTTTTTGCCCGAGAGGAAGGGAAGGGGTGGGCAGCTCTCAGCACCCCTGCATTCCAAAGGAAACCAAGGTCTAGAGGGATGTGCCTGCCCCAAGGTCACAGGGCGAACAGATTCGAGGAGGCGATCAGATTCGAAGCGGGGAAAGAGTCAGCGTTTATCTCCTTGGCCGGGGCTCTGCTAGGCCATCTCGGAGCTGGGCAACTCCCCTCCGCTTGCACACCAGCGGACTCCCCGAGGAAAACTGTTCCACCTCCCCCAACCTTGCCCCCCCCTCTCCCCCCACCGAGGGTTCTGCCACGGATGCTGCCCTGTGGTCCCCCGCGCCCTGACCTGTGTGACAGTGTAGTCCTTCTCCTCCATCCGGTCTTTGATGATGCGAATCAGGGGGCCGATGTTGTAGAACTCGGCTTCCTCCAGGACCCCTGGCACAGACAAAACCATCTCTGGGTCACTCCCACTGGCCATGCCCCCTTCTGCTCCAGTCACACGAGGGTGACGAGCATCTCTGAGTTCAGGGTCAAGCAAGAGGAAACATTTCCTTCCTTGCATCCCACGCTCTCCGTGGAAGGGGCGAGATACTGCCACTCAGCAGCCTGACACCTCTGCTGTGCTCAGCATGGTGACCGAGGGGTGCCTGCCAGTCCCCTAATCTGGGGGCTGCCCTGGGTCCATCAGGAGGCAGCAGGCTGGCTGGCACTCGACTCTAGAATGCCACAACGAGACGGACCCTGGCTGAGCCCATTACACGCTCCCCTCTATGAAGTGCGTGCCAAGTGCCAGGCGCTATGCTAGGCATTGTCCATCCTTCATTGCAGTTAATTCTCGGAACTAGAAGTAGGCACTGTCATCGCCCCACAGGAGAAATGGGGCAGCTGAGGGCCAGAAAGAGAAGCAGCATGTCTGAGACCCCACAGCCCAAAGCGGCAGAGCCGAGCTTCACACTCCAGCTCCTCCGACTTCGGAGCCCACCGTAAACACACGGTCTTGAGCATGTGCACGCCCCCGGCTCCCACACTTTACAGTTTGCACAGCCACTCCTGCGCTCACCACAAGCCCTGGGGACGTGGGAGAGAGGGCATCATTGTCCCCATACCATTAAGGGAACTGTCTTAGAGACTACGGAGTCACCTCTCCAGTGAAGTGGAATGGCCCCAGACCTCTGGACTCCCCTAAGCTCCTTCAGGGCAGGGACCCTTCTGCTTGTGTCCATGACTGGCCTCTGGGCCCCTGGGCACAGGGCGGGCGTTGGTGAGTGGTGCTGCCCCGTGGAGCCCTGCGGATGGCAGCCCACTCACACTGCATCACCGGCCCTCGGGGCCTGGCACTGCACCAGGTGATGCACCCGCGTGAGCTCCTTTCATCCTCGCAGCAGCTCAGCAAGGTGGGTGCTGCTGTCACCCCATTTCACAGATGAGGCACGAAGGCACAAAAGGATAAGTGACTTTCCCAGTGCCACACAGCTAGGGAGCCTCCACCCAGATCCCCCGGCCCCCGCATGGGGCCCTAGCCCTGCCTGGAGGTGCTGGGAGTGGCCAGACATGGAGCCACCCAGAACCTGTAAACAGGTGTTGGCTGTGACACAGCTGGAGTGTTTGCTCCGCGCCCAGACCCAGGCCACGCCCACGGCACCTGTGTTCCCGGAGGGGCTGCCGTGGGCCCTGCTGAGCCAGTGCCTGCGATGGGCTCTGATTTTGAAGTCCCGGCCCCCTGGAGACGCACTAGGGAGGAGGGATGGGCTGTGCTAGACACCCACAGGGCACAGCACCGGACACATGGTATCAGTGTTGCAAGATGTGCTCTCCCCAGTGTGGTCACCGCACACTCCATACACCTAGAAACTCCAAAAGGAGAAGTGGCGTGTCCAAGCTGGCCTGACTGGGTCAGCTGACCCAGAGCCACACCCTGTGCCCCAACGGAGACAGGACGAGGCACTGACTATGCAAGAGGCCACCCCCCTACCCCACCCCACCCCCAGCATGGCTTCCCCACCATCTGCTGGGCCCAGAGGTGGGCATCTACAGGGCCCACTTTCCTCTGGGGGGCAGGCTTTCTCCTTCCCCGCCTCTGCCCACACCAGCACTGTGCTGCAGAGGCTGCCGAATTTGGGAAAGAGCCACCTGCTCCACCCACCTGGTGACTGGAAGCCCTCCCCAGGCATGTGAGATACTGGGTCACCCTGCCCGGCTTCCCAGAAGACCAGGAGAAAGAGCCTCTCTGCCACACGGAAGGCGGCCAGCCCCGCAGGCTCCCTCTGCCCCCTCCCCAACAGCACCCATGAAAGCTCAGGCTGGTCAGCTGGGCAGTGCCCTGGGCTCAATGCGGGCAGAAGCTTTGGGATTCAGCCCTGTCAGGGAAGGGGAGAGGCAGGGAACACAGAGGAAAGCAGATGTCCCGCCTGGCTGGGAGACACAGCTCTGGACCTCTGCGAAGGCCTGGCAGGCGACAGAGGGCAAGGCCAGATTGTGGGCCCAGCTGGCCCCCTGGACCAACTCACCCTCCTCAGCCATGTCCTTGTCCAGCACCAGCTTGCCATGCCGGAGGAAGTTCAGGATGGGCCCGAAGTAGGTGGGGTCACGGTCAATGAGGTAGGCCCCAGTCTCATCCTGCGGGAGGCGAGGGACAGGGGCTGAGAGGGGGCCTGCCCTGCCCGCTCCGCGCGTCAGGCCCAGGGGAGGGCTGGAGGGAGGAAAGGAGCGAGAGCAGCGAGTCTGTTCTTCCCTGGAGCGAAGTCGCATGATGGAGCCAAAGGTTCAAATCCTACCTCTGCTTTTCTCGACTGGGTGACCTTAGGCCAGTGACTTGGCCTCTCTGTCTCAATCCTCTGCCCCGTAACTAGGGGTCACTGTGAGCATCCAGGGAGGTTTTGGTGGCACCTGACCCAGAGCAGGGCTCAGTGTCCCTCTTAGAAGTTGTCCCCCTGAGGCCAGCCCTACACTGTCCCCACCAGATCCCCAGTCGATCCCGGGTGTTTGCAGGTTTCCAAAGGAGCCCCTATCTCATTGGACACCCTCGGCCTGCAGGGAGGCAGGGCGGGCAGCAGTACAACTCTACAGAGAGAAAGGAGCATTAAGAGGTGAGGGGACTTGCCGAAGGTCACAGCATCAGATGGTCAGGAAATGGGGGGAAAGGGTCATGTCCAGACCAGCCTCCTCTGGTTACAGACAGGAGGCTGAGCCCGGAGCAGAGAAGGGCCAGCCTAAGACCATGCCAACAGTCTACAGCACAGCGAAACGGAACCCCAGACCTGGCACCCTGAGCTCCTCACCCAGCTCCTTGCACACTGAGGCCTCCTCGTCCCCCAAAGCGAGGGAGAAGCAGTCTCAGTCACTCCTTCCTCAGTGCGAGAGTCCCGTTTGGGAAGGGCTGAAGGCCCTGGTGTCCGTCTGTCCCCACAGCCCCAAAGGAGAGGGGAGAATCGGATCCGATCCTCCAGCCTCCTGGGGTGGGGGCCCAGGGCAGCTCTCACAAGCCCCAAATGGACGCTGCCTGGCGTTGTCCCGTTGCCAAGGGAACATTCCTGCTCCCAAACCCACTTCCTCCCGCCCTCCTCCAGCCAGCTTCCCGCCTCCGGCTCTTTGTAAATAAAACCTGCCTGATTCCCGGCCGGGCGTGCGTGCCAGGCCGGGCCGCCGGGGTTCCTGCCAGCGGGAGCCCCCAGCCCCAGCCCGCGCAGCCCGCCCCCCGAGGGCCTCACCCGGTCCGACTGCAGCTCTTCCCCCTGGCACAGGCGGCTGAGGAAGGACTTCTGCTCCCGGCACAGGGTCTGCCGGGTGGTCAGGAACACCGTGCCCCCTACGTTGAGCCGCACCCACTTGCTCCAGCCGCCGGCAGCGCGGCCACCCGCCCCCGCCGGCGGCGCTGCCTCCCCGGCCTCCATCCTCATTTCTGGCCCCGGCTGCTGCATCCTCCCGGCTCCCGGGCTGGAGGCGGGCAGGTGCTGCGCGCGGGGCATGCCGGGAGCTGTAGTCCGCGCCCCGGCAGCTGGGCGCCCGGGCTCAGGGTCCCCGGATGCCTTCCCAGCCCTGCCCTGCCCTGCTGTGCCCTTCCTGGGAGACCCCGCGAACCGTGTCCCCTGAAGGAACCCGATGGCCAAATGTGTGTTTGGGGAAGGTCAAATTTGAGGTCACTGGGAAAATAGGGAGTGAGACCCGAAATCCCAATCCTCCCATTCGCTCTTCCCAGTATTGATTGCTCCTTGTCCGCGGTGCATTATCAAGCAGCTGATACTGATGGGAAGGAACGTTTCCCTCCCGGACTTCCATAGCGTTTACCTGTGTCTGTTTTCTAATATTTTTAAATTCTGCCCTTTGTGTCCGGAGGAGTGGAGGGAGGGGAGCTGGTTCTTTCCCAAAATCAGTCCTTTGAATGCAACATAGTGGGCCTTACCTGAGCACCCACCGTGTCCCAGATGCTTCGGGTGTCTGTGATTCGCTGAAACTCTCGGCAGCCCTGTGAGGCTGTGTTACTGACCCATTGTACAGATGAGGTCTCAAGTGAATGACCTTGCTGACTCAGGGCTGGTGAGTGGCAGCCTGGCTCGAACCCACGTGGGTTCCGAGCGCATTTCCACCAGCAAGGCCTCTGCTTCCCTGCCATGGGCTGTCAGCGCTCCTTGGGGAAGACTTCTAGGGAGGAAAGTGGGTAGGGCGCTGGATGGAGTCTGGAGACGTGGGTTTCATCCTGGCTTTGGTAGGATGAGGTATGGTGAGAGGTCTCAGTTTCCCTGTCTGTAATTCAGGAGGGGAAGGAGGGATTGGTTGTGTGGGCCCCCTTCTGAGCCAGATAACTGCGGGGAAGCTCCTCAAGTCATCTGGGACCAGGGAGGCACGAGGGCTGAAGGGGCAGCTGTGCCCCTTAACTTCCTCTCCTTCTCCATGTTTTGGTCTGGTCTTAGATTAAGGGGGAGGGGTCGGAGGCCCCCCTCCTTGATCTCCGCGTCACACACAGCCTGGCCCTGTGCTGGGGGAAGGTTCTGTTACCACCCAAGGCTTTTTTTCTCCGTAAAGCCTTTCCTCTTGGCAGGGACTAGACCACAGCTGCTAGAATCCTCCTCCCAAGGACTTACCAGTATGTTCCAGAGCAGCTTCCTCACTGAACCTCGGTTTCCTCTTTTGGAAACTGGGAATTATAGTAGTCCTAGAGCATTGTTGTGAAGGTTAAATTATATAATGTCTGTAAAACACCTGGCCTCGTCTCTGGTTTTAATATACTGAATGAATGGACAAATGCATGAATGAATGAAGTGAGGTAGGAACTGGTCTTGATAGATCAGCAACACTCCTGGTGCTCAATGAGCCCTCACTCATTTTAGCTACAACAAAACTAGAGCAGGAAATACATTTAAATCAATGAAAGGGTTGTAGGCAGGAAGTGACCTGGTCAGATTTGCAACCTAGATCCCTCTGGGGGCTGAGCCCAGTGCCAGGGCTCACTGCCATCCTACCACAGGGGCTGCCCCGTGGATTGTGGCCCTGGAGGTGACAGTGGAGGCTGAGCCAGCACCTTTGGTTCCAAAGTAGAGGGAGGAAGCTTTGACGGAGCCGGTCTCAGCCCCTCCTTCCTTAGAGGCCCCCACCAATTCCTGGAGACCAGCATCCCCTCAGCAAGCACCTAAAATGTTCCCACCCAAAACAACAACCCCACCGCTGGAGGCCGCAGCTAAGAACCAGGTGGCGGGACCCAAGGCCCTTAAATAGAGCTGACAGATGCCACCACATCCTTGCCTGTGGCTGGGTTTTGTCTGGAGGAAGCCATGTTTGGGTGGCAGAGATTGAGGGGTGGGGCACACTGACTGCTAGAAAGGGACTCCTGACCCCTTTCTCCCAGCAGCCAGCGTTCAGTGCCGTCACTGTTTGTTGAGCGATGGCTGTGTGCCAGACATTGAAACAGATGAAGAAGAATGTCAGGGGTGGTCCCTGATCCAGAGGGAGCCTCCTGTTTGGGGAGGGGGGTGCAAGAGGTTTTGACAAAACTCGGGCTCCCAGACAATCCTGTTTGTAGCCACAGACTGGCACTCTTCAGAGTTGTTTGCTGTCTTTCCATCTAGAAGATAAAGCCAAACATTCCTTAGCTGCTTTCTGGGGTAATGGTTATCCTGGAGGAGGGCCAAACTTCCACGGCCTGCTGGTTACACTGCCCCCTGCTGTCCCCTTCTGGGAAGAGCAGGTGCTTTTTAATATGCCTCTGAATTGGACTTGAAAGTCAGCCAAGACAGAGGTGGTTAAGGGACAAAGGCTCCCAGACAAGGATGCCAGCCCAGGCTGGGTGGCTTGCGAATGTCACTTAATCTCTCTGAACCCCACTTGCCCCATTTCCAAATTGCAAATAATAATAGCTCTAACCAGCCTCCTCCAGGGAGCACACTTTCATGCAGACGTCCCTCTGGCTCCTGTGGCTGTCATTCCACAGCGCGGAACGGGAATCACACAGAACCAGGACTCTACGAACCATCCCCTTGGGCCCCTTGCACCCCACCCTGCTGCCTGAGAGTCTGCAACCAGCACTTTCCTGGGTGATCTCTTTTACTAGGCCGGAATCCGCCTGCAGGCTTTCCCAGGCCCGAGTCCCCCCAGCCTCTGAACCCCACCCCCACCCCAATCCAGGACACACACACAGGTCAAGCTCCTCAAATGGCCTCCCTGAAACCTCTCAGCCTGCAGAGCACCTCCCCATAAGGCAGGGGAAGTGAAGAGCCACCGCCGCCCAGTGCTGCTTCTGGAGAAAGCGGTGCCCAGCCTTGCCAGCCGCGCCCCGGCATCTCTCAGGCCTCCGCTGCAGGCAGGAGGTCTGTGGTCTCCTGTTTCTAGACTATTCTTTTTTCTTTAGTCCTCGCCCGAGGATATTTTTCTATTTATCTTCAGATAGAGTGAGAGGAAGGGAGAGAGAGAAACATCCATGTGAGAGAGACACATCGACTGGTTGCCTCGTGCAGGACCCCAACCCAGGGCCGGGGACGAACTGCAACCGAGGTACGTGCCCTTGGCCGGAATCGAACCCGAGACTCTCTTGTCCGCAGGCCCACACTCTAACCACTGAACCAAACCAGCCAGGGCTCTATACCGGTTCTTAACCACCTTGGCTGAAAGAACTGCTTTAGATGGTCTAGCACCTTGTCTTAGAACGTGGGCGCAGTCAGCAGCCCTGGCTGAAACGAAGTCAGAAAAACCTTAAAAAATATGTGGACGAAAAGGGGCCACGTGCTAACCTGACAAGCTCGGGGAAGGCCTGTGACAGGCTTGCAAACTCAGAGACCTAAAGTAACCAACCAGGGTGATCTGAAATGAAAACTTCTTAAACTAAAAGCAGTTTATGGTGGGTAGTCCTGTCCTAGGCTAAAATCTTCCCAGGCAAAAGTCAACTTTCACCTTAATTGAGGCTGTTGTCTTTTTGCATCTAGAATAACATGCCTTTGGTACATGCCCCTAGCGGGGGCCAAACCCAGGACTCTCTGGTTTGCAGGCCAATGCTCCAACCGCTGAGCCAAACAGGCCAGGGCTAGAATAACATGCCTTTGAAATGTCAGGGTAACTTCCCTTTTCCCTGACCCCTCAGGGCACACCCAGTGCACGGGGCAGGGGAGGCACAAATCCCTTTCTTATTATTTTCACATTTATTGTTGACTGTTAACTAGCCTGCACCCACTAACCTGTTGACTGTTAACTAGCCTGAAGAATGTGTCTATCATTTTACTTTTGATCCAATCCCAGAGGTTCCCTCCCCCACCCCTATCCCCGTTTTGCTTTCTCCTGCCTCCCTAATCTATCACCATTGGATTTCATGTAACCCACTTACATCACCTCTTTTGATTGTCATGTATAAAATAAGGTGCAAAACTGCCATTCTCCGGAGTGTTATCTTAATCCCTTGAGATTTTGCTTCCTGCAATTGTCGTCAGTTTGGCTCAAATAAACTCACAAAAATTCTTCACAGGTTTGAATGTTTCTTACGTTGACAAATAGCATTTTTTTTTTTTTAATCCTCACCCGAGGACATTTTTTTTTGATATTTTGTTCAGATAGAGTGGGAGGGAGAGAGAGAGAGAGAAACATCGACGTGAAAGGGACACATCGAGTGGTTGCCACCCACACAACCCAACCAGGGCCGGGGACAAACTGCAACCGAGGTACATGCCCTTAGCGGGAACCGAACCCGGGTCTCTTGGGACCGCAGGCCGATGCTCTAACCGCTGAGCCAAACCGGCCAGGGCAGCATTTTGTTTTTAAGTACGTTCAGCCTTAAAGAAAAGTTGCAAAAGCATCCTGTTTTCCATCCAATGTATTTATCTCATTAACTTTAGTATTCATTGATGTTTCTTGCTATGCAAATTATGACTGTCATGGTGGACAGAAAAAGGGGCCACGTGCTAACCTGACAAGCTCAGGGACAGCCTGTGACAGCCTTGCAAACTCAGAGACCTAAAGTAGCCACCAAGGGTGGATTGAAATGTAAACTTTTTAGCTAAAAGCAGTTTATGGCGGGTCGTCATGTCCTGGGCCTGCATCTTCCCTGACAAACGTCACTGTTTACCTTAACTAAGTCTGTCTATTGTCTTTTTGCATCTCCGATAACATATGTTTGGAATGTCAAAGTAATTTTCCATCTTCCGGATCCCTCAAAGCACAGGCACCGCGCTCCGGGGACCACAAATCCCCTCATTGTTACTGAGTTCATTGTTGACTTTTAACTCTCCTGTGCCCACCCATGTAAGAGATGTATGTGTCTATCTTTACTTTTCATCACTCCCAGAGGTGTCCCCCACTTGGCTTTCTCCCACCTCCCTGATCTATCCCCAGTGGACCTCAGGGAACACACTTACATCTCCTCTTTTGATTGTCGTGTATAAATTAAGGGGCAACACTGCCCTTCCCCAGAGCATTATCTCAGTCCCTCGAGGTTTTGCTTCCCG